CTTCGAAGCTCCTGGAGCGCACCGTAGGAATTCCCTGCGAAATCTCCAGATATCAAAAAAGGATCGAACTAGTCATAGTCAGTTTGTGCATGATATGATAGACCAACAAAATCCTAGTAAAAAAAGTTGACGAATTATGACGAATTCATTTTCACATGATTTTCCATGAATTTCCCCCTTCTTGATGGCCATTTTAGGGGAAACTCCTGTTGCCATGACCCATCCTTCTGGTCCCAGAGCTGCGAAACTGCTCCAATCTTCAGTAGATCCCAACTATGCCAACTACTATGTTGATGGGGATCCAAAACTGCCCAAAGTCACAAGAATATACAACAATCATCCAAACTTAGACTATGTTTGCAATTTGAGTATTGAAACCCATGGTGACTTGGGATCTCCCATGACTTACGAAACCCCCAAGTTGAAATTCCCCCAGCGATTCGAACATCCGAACGCTTCGCTCAGGGCCCGACCAACTTTTTCAACAGTGTGCACGGCATTGGCCTCCCGGTCGCCCGTCAATAAGTAGACCTGAGAGGAAAAAAATGTGGGACCCATGGCAGATCTGGGATAGTCTTGGATCCAAATGGGAATCGACCAAAGTGGGTTTGGAACTAGATTCTAGATTATTTTACTTTAAAGGGAAGATTTAGGGGTTACCAATAAGAACAGGCTCGGCTACATCTGGTTGATGGTTTCACCAAACAAAGATGGAATGCGACGCCAGCAATCAACAGCTAACATCAGTAAATCATGGTCAACCGTGTGAATAAGATCCAATAAGAAACAGGGTTGCTCCAAAAATCCCAGGTAACAAGGGGGGTCAATTGGCTAAACATAGAGGTGAAATATGGTGCGTTGGAGTAACCCAATAGTAAAACATCCCAATCTTACCGGAAAGGGGTTGTAGTTTTTTTTTCCCCATGGACCCAGGTCTGGTACCAATCTGAATCTTTGCTTCCACCGACTTGGCTTTGTACCGAGCCCCTCTTTGCCACCTGACACTTGAACTGCGCCCCTTGGGGACTCCACACCAGCCTATCTTTGGGACCCTGATGGGTGTTTATTACGCTTGGTAATTGGTAAAGAATTTCTTGGATGTCCGCACACAAAAACTGGCATGTATGTATCGATTGGATTCCATGCGAATGATGTTGTTGGTGAAAGAAACGGCCGAGAGTTTGGAATAGTAATATAATGTAATATACCGTCGATATCCATCGATAGTTGATGCAAGTACATTTGCCCAGCATGGCTGCCCATGGCTGTTCAATTGGGGGTTCCACATGTATGCTTCACCAGTGAGAATCAATGCTCCGCATGCCATCCTGCCATATCCTGCCTCATCGACCACTTGGGGTGCCGATGCTTTTACGCAATCCTCTTCGCTGGCCCAAGTACCATTGAAAGGGAACATGCTGGAAAGGGGGATTCAAGAAATCAAGATATTTCGGCATCCATCCCCTGCAAGGTTCGCAAGGTTCATACCATGCTATTCCCTTGGATTGAGGTGTAAACATGAGAAGGCAGTCAGTGCCTGGTGGAGTCCAAGCGTCTCAAATGCCCACCTAGACAAGCTCAAACTGGCTGATAAAGTTGTAGAACATTGTAGAACCTTTGACTCTATTGACTCTTCATGACCAAGCCGAACTCTGGATTTTCGGGGGTCAGAAGTAGCAATGGGCCTGCAAGGCACGGGTCCTCCAAATGGAACAGCCAAGCTCTGCTTGCCTCGAAAGCTTGACATGACGTCCTCACGTTGATGCTGTTTCACATGTCATGGCTGCAGACCGACCTTTAATTGGTTGGCGTTTTTTTTTTTGACAAGCCATGCCATGTTTTTTTGAGCCCCTGGCCATTGCCATGGACATGTTCTGCGGACACTTTCTATCTAAACCATTTAGGAATGAGCCCATGACAGAAAATTCATTCCAGAATCTAATAATGTGGTAAACCAAATGCCATAAACATCATAAACTCAATGACTCACCATTTTGTATACAAAAAATATACAGTAAACCATCCCCAAATTGATCCAAATGGTAGGTTCACATGCCCTCGTCGGCGCACAGACCCACATCGGATCATCGCCGCCTCGCCCTCGTTCAAAAGACCCAGCGCCAGCATGACGCTTCCGCCGGATTTCACCTGCCCTTCCCACAGGTCCCTGAAGTCAGTACATGAGTAGAAAAGAAGGGGTGTGTATATATTATATAATTGAATATATATATATAAGTATATATATATATGGTCTTATATATAATCTGATTTATATCTAAATTATGTCCAAACTATATCATAATCTATAATAAATGATGTCTATCTGAATCTAAGAATCGATCTGTCATGATCTATCTCTGGTGGGATCGGAATCATCCTTGCTGGAGGGGTCCAAAAGGTCCAGAGCTGCAGCCCTGGATGGTCATCAATCCACAGGACGTCCATGGGATATATCATATCTTAATGGGATCTATATATTCAGGGCGTATCATATTTATATATCCTCTAAGGAATCCCTAATGATTGTGCCAAGGTCATCCAAGGTCAGCTGAAGACTTCACCTAGCTGGGACTTTTTCGTGCGACCTATTTTAGGTGGCTGAAGATGGTCATGGCCCCTCCCCCCATCCCCAAGATGGTGATGGTCCCTATATGTATATAAAAGTCACACGTACACATGTACATATATATATATGTATATATATGTATATATATGTATATATATGTATATATATATATATGTATATATATGTATATATATATATACATATATGTATATACATATATATACATATATATATACATATGTATATATATATACATATATGTATATATATACACATATATATATACATATGTATACATATATATATATATGTACATATATATATACATATACATATATATATACATGGGTGTGTATATATACATATATATATATATATACATATATATATATATATATCTGTATATCTATATGTATATGTCTATGTATCCTCCCCTGTGGATGTCGTGGGGGGTGAGGGGGGGGTAACCTCCCATACCATATGGGCGTGAACAGGACACGAGATGATATATATATATAAACATGTATGATATGATGATGATCTAAACACTTTTATATCTTATATTTTCATTGATGGCAAACATTTGAAATACCAGTCTACTGAAGATTACTGAAGTACCAATCCAAGGTTTACCATGGAAAAACCATATGATTGCCGGATGTTTCCTGCAGATTTTCCTATTGATTTCCCCATGACTTTCATCCAAACTTCGAAACCTCTTCAGCTCGTACTTGCAAGGATTTGGCCAAGGCCTTGGCTCCCAATCCCCTGGAAAGCGCTTGCTGATTTTGGGGAAACACCAAGGATGTCACTATATTGACCTCAAGAAGAGGTGTTTTATGATGTGGTATGATTTTTCATGATGTTTTAAGGTCTCAGATGTTCTCCGAAAGGCGAGAAATCGCCTGGAAATCTTGAACTTTATAGTTTTGACGTGTTTTGACCCTTACCACCCAAGAGCTTGTGAAATCTTACAACGACCGTAGGAACTGGTCATCAACCCTTCCAGATTTGAGACCAGGACACGCTACGTCATGGGATTCACCATGGGGATTTACCAAGGAGCCTTTTTGGGGGCATCCTACTTGGATGTGCATCCCACTTAGTAAGTGGTTTTATAACCCATGTACATATGTATATATATATACAGTATACTTATATATATATATACATATATATATATAAATACATGGTTTATTATATATAACTGGGGATATCCATCAATATATCCCAGTAATATAACTGCTTATTTTTTTCATGCTATGGTTATATTAATCCACTTAGAAGTGGAAATGCACTCCCAAGTATTGCTGGCCAAGTGACTTCATCCAAGCCTCGATGGGACTGGAAAAGGCCCCCGAGAAAACTCGGGATTTGACCATGTTGTGAGTTACTGAAACATTAAAACATCATAAAACCAATGCACACATGTTATCTAATATTATCTAATATTATTTAATATTATCTAATATTTAGATATATTTTGAATGATACAAAGTGATTTTTTGAATTATGTATAGAGTGATTTACTGACAGGACCACATCGCTGGATCCCTTGTTGCTGGCCTTCAAAGCGGCTCACGAAGTCAGGTCGACCCATGACCTCAAAAAATGGGGCGCTTCCGAAGTACGAATCATCAGTTTGCTCATAGATGATATTTGGTGGTTTAATGGGATTTAATGGGATTTACCCTCTGGTAAACTAACATAACTATGGAAAATCACCATTTTGAGGAGAATGAAATCATTATGTTGCCATTATATTGCCTTATATTCCCATTATGTCCCATTAATTTCCATTTATCTGGTTGGTGGTTTCAACCTCTCTGAAAAATATGAAAGTCACTTGATGTCACTTGGGATGATGAAATTCCCAATATATGGAAAAATAAAAGCCATGTTCCAAACCAACCAGTACACTTCCAGTACACTTCCAGCTCTGGATATTTAGATAATATGAATTAATTAATGATATCCACTTCATCCATCTTCATCTAGATATCCAGAGTTTGGACCATCCAACTGCATCAATTGATTCCTCTGCTCTCAAGTGAACTCAGCAACAGACGGCCGTGACCGCCGTCTGCACACCTCGGAAACAAATGTTGAAGGAATGGCCATCTAAAAATTCACTGCGCAGTGAAAGAAAACTAGTTATGTGGCTAGAATGTGGCCATGGTATGGTCATACATGGTCATACTGTTCGAACTTATTTGTCAAATTTCCGGTCACATTTCCCTGGTACTGTAATTACCCTGGCTGGAAAGACCAAAAAGGCTGAGCAGTGGATGTTCATCACCCCAATATTTTGCTACGGGTACTGATCCATGCAACTAAATGAACAGCTTGCCTTTGTTCAATATTGTTTATACATTCGTCCAGCAAAGCAAAGGACACCAGTCAGTCCTGTATAAATTTTTGTGCAAGCTTTCTAATACACGAATCCTGAAAATCAGTGAACATCCTCGGACTGTTTTTTGAAGCAATTGCTGCAAGTCCTTTGGGTGGGTCCAAAAATTGGGCACCCTCTTTGGGGTGCCCAAAATCCACCGTTTGAATATGTTTGAATGGTCTATTTAAAGCAAGGACGCCATCTTTTGGGACACACCCATAGACCACATCATTTCACCTTGTCTTTGTGGGTGCTGCATTCGGATCCTTCAGACTCGGCTGACTCCGCCAGTTGCAGAGATGTAATGATCAACACCGCACCAAGGGAGGTTTCAAGGCTTGGCAAACCTTCCCCAAGGGCACTGCCCAGTACCACACCGGACAGTGTGCCGAAGTACATGGCTTGAGTGCCAGAGGCTGCAGGCAACACCTTGAGGCCACGCACCAAAAAGACCTGGCCCAGTTGAGTACAAAGTCCAAGCATCAACAGCCATGCCCAAGTGCTTGCTTCGTGTTTGGCGGCCCCAAACCAAGCATCTTTGGCACAGAAGGGCAGTGAAACCAGTGGAAGCGCCAGTAAGGTCCACATTTCATCCTCGCTGTCGTTGCGTGACAGGCAGCGCACGCAGCAATATGCTGCTCCAGATAAGGCACCTGCCAGCAAGGCCAAGAAATGGCCGAACAGGTCACCGGAGACCAACCCGGCCCAGGAAGGTTTCGAAATCATCGTCACCCCAAAAAAGGACACCAAAATGCCGATGGCACGAGCCATACTCAGAGCTTCTCCCAGAAAGATGTATGAAAGTATGGCCGCAGCCATAGGATGCACCTTTCCCAGGAAAACCGCTTCAGCCAGAGGGATGCGATCTAAGGACTCCAGATAAGCTGACAAAGCGATGTGTCCACACAGACCTCGCAGCAGCAAGAGCCACTTGCGCTTGGGAGAAGCGAAGGCCTTGCCCCTGGAGAGAGTGAAGAGGATTGAGAGCAAAGATCGCCAGAACACCTGCAGGTCTGGAGGCAAAGAACTGAACCCAGGAGAGTTATAGCATGTTACAACACGAGTCACACATGAAACAACACAACGATGTCTGTATGCAAACAGATATATACAGTAACAGATATATACAGTACATCTAATCACATGTGTACATCTAAAATGTACATGCATAGAAGTAGCATCTCGAATCCATCGATATTATCCCTTCTCCAAGTCAACTTATGTCTCCAGCTCCGTGCCTTCTCGTGCGTGGATGCTCTCAATCCAATGATCTTCGAAACTGCTGCCATCCCTGTAAAGCTGGTGGTGCTGATAAGCATATAGGCGTAGCCAACCGCATGGCTACCCGAAAACATGCCAGTGCCCATGCCCTTCATAGCGACACGGCGACAAAACTTGAGCAGAAATGATGCCTTCAGAAAAGAAGTTAATTAATTTAGGCATGATTCGGAGTTCCGAATGATTCGGTTTGTTCAGGTGCCAAGATCTTGGCAGCAATCAAGTCCTACATTCTAGCGTACCATCCATGGAAGATCAGGGCATATGGAGTCAGCACTAGCCCTCATCTGCTAGGCCTCTCGGCTCCCTGGCGATCGTCTTTGATCAGATTGCCTGTGACTCCAGCCCCTGCCACCATCTGGAAATCCTTCACCTGCGCGACTCAATGTAGCAAAATGGGACACCCCATCGATTTCACCCTACATTTTTCATCATTTTTCATGGATGTTTGAAACATTTTGGAACCATCAACCAGTTACATTGGCTAAAATCCCATTGTGAACTCTCATCTCTTATTAAACACCTGCCTTTTTCTGGATACTCTCCGGAAATCAAATACGGCAACGGAAAATCGCACATCGCTAGATGACTTCCAACCTCCAACGCCCCCCATCGGTAGACAGCATCTTTTAACGCTATCCCTTTGGGACATTTAACAAAAAGCTATGGAAAATGGTCATTTATAGATGATTTACTCATTAAAAATGGTGATTTTCCATAGTTGTTTGTATGTTATAAAGGGTCATTTTACTTATTCATGGCGATCTTCAATGTGTGAAATTTACCAACGAGATCCAGATGGCGATCTGTTCCCGTCCGCCTGGTAGGTCGGTTGGTCTATGGGCAACGCCGCCACCATGGCCCGGGACACGGGATGCACAGACAGCTGACCTGACCACGGGCATATCACGTCTTAAAGCTCAGTGATGAACCAAAGAACTCCAAGTTGTACAGAGTTACAGTATGTTACAGTACTATATCATATGGGGATGGGTCAAAACCCTGGTACCTAGTGAACTCCAAAATAGCTGGTAAATGGATGTTCATCCCACTAAAAATGGTATTAATAGGTATTGATCCATATTCTTCTTGTTATGCCCCTGCCTTTTTGCCATGCCCCTCAGGCCCCGGCCCAGAGAGGCCGCGAAGGGAAGGGGATCTAATTCCTGTCAGGAACAGTCACGGACGATGAGGAACTGCAAGGCCTGTCACATCCTCAACGATTTTCAGAACTGGCATCAACTCATTGCATTGTCCCCATTCAACTCATTGCATCCACTTGGTATATCATTCCTTAAGATCAACCATCAAGCACCAGTTGGATTATTCATGATGTGATGATAGTAATATATAGTAATACCCAAAAAGATAGAAGTTCGCAAAATCCCAGCAAATGAGTGATCATGTCATATCTCCACGAATTTCATCACTTTTCGGCATTTTTAAGGGGGTTACCATAGTCACTCATCCTAACCACTTAGTATAGCCGATCATTCACCACGCCCTTGGCCGCCTTGGCCGAGTGCGCAGAGGACCCGATCTCCTGATTCGGGGGGTTTTCATAAATGGGGGTACCCCAAAAATGGATGCTTTATTTCATGGAAAATCATGGAACATCCAAACAACATGGATGAGAACTGGGGGTACCCCCATGACTCTGGAAACCTCCAGATCTTTGGGATAAAGGGGGATGGGATGACTCTTGCTGATGTTCTATTCAATATATATATATATGATAAACAAAGTTCGTTAGATTTCTGGATGATTAACCAACCTTTCATAATTTCACAGTTCATCCTCTACTTCTGTGCGGATCCAATTGTGATTCACCAGCGAATCAGCAAACGTCGCAGCAAACGTCGCTGTTTCGCAAGGTGTGTTTTGGGCGCTAGCTTCAGCTCCAACATCATTCATCCACCTATCTCCCTGTCGATCCATCATCTAATATTATGCATCTATCTATCAACCAATATATATATATATATAATTGTCACTCCCTCCTTCCCTCAGCGAGCTAAGCACATCAGCACTTTTAACTGGGATGCGCAAAGGTCTTCTTTCGCTGCTTCTTTCTGTCCTGTGTTTATTCACAGAACAGTTCTGATGCTGCAGCCAGTTTTGCTGCAGCATTTCCAGCAGGTGCATTGGCTTTGCCAGCACCTTATTCCCCCAGAGCTCTGGAAGAATTTATCCCAAGACTTGGAGGTGTCCGGGGATGGTGGAGGGCCATTTTGAACCGAAGTCTGAGTACATTCGGTCATGACGATCCGAGGGACATGTCCCACTACACGTCACTCCCTCCTTCCCTCAGCGAGCTAAGCACATCAGCACTTTTAACTGGGATGCGCAAAGGTCTTCTTTCGCTGCTTCTTTCTGTCCTGTGTTTATTCACAGAACAGTTCTGATGCTGCAGCCAGTTTTGCTGCAGCATTTCCAGCAGGTGCATTGGCTTTGCCAGCACCTTATTCCCCCACTTTAGATGCTGGCGTGACAATGCCCTTCATTCCTTACCAGGGGTCTTCCCACCTAGTTTGGCCTCTCTTTCTTTTGTGCATGGACTCCGTAGGGCGATCACCTTTGGCCTCTTTGGACGATTTCGCCAGTTTAATTTCATCGTCCAAATCTGCCGCCTTGGCCATCAACTTGTCCATGACTTCGAACTTCAAATCTTCAAATTGAACAATGATCCTCTTTGAGCTGTCGAAGCCCATGAACTCACTGTTGGTCAGGCTATCAGCTTCGGAATTCTGATCTCTAGGTATCCACTTCAAATCCATTTCTAGGCCCAGCCGCTTGAGCTGAACTGCCAGTTCCATGACCACAATGGAAAGCGGATACTTGCACGACATGAAATGGTTCAGCACATAGGTGTTGCCCAAGTTGTCCGTACTAGCCGATAAGGACATCACCGTTCTGCTCATGTCGCACTCCCATCCCTTCCCGAACAACATGATGGCTGTCAGCACTGCCACCAACTCGAGACTCGCAATGTTTCTGAACGGTTCTCCCTTCAGATAGGCCCATGGAGCATTGCGTCTGTTTAGAACGATGGAGAACCACCGAGCGTCCTCAGTCCGCCCTGAAGCCGGAATTTCCCAGCCACCGATCACAATCAAGTCTGCTTCTGCTTTAGCATCCACCCGGAACTTTTCTACCGGACGGCTTTCCAGACGTCTAGGTCTGGTCATGGCTTCTTTGACCACTTCGCCTTGAATAAAATCCAAGAGAACTGCCACTGCCTCTGGAAACTTGGCAAAGGTCCCTGGTGAAAGGACCGCTGCCCACGCAAATATGGGCCCCAAGAATGGCCTGACATGCTGTAGAGCCCCTGCCACAAAACTGAATCGGCCCAATGCTGATTTAAGATCGCGCCCAGTCACTCCGCCTGAAGCTCGATGTCTTTCAAGCCATTCCACAATCCATTTGACATTCTTTTCCGAAATGCCTTTAGTGAACTTCTGCACATCGATTTGATAGCCTATCCAATGCACTACCAAACCCCCACGAACTTTCTTCCATGCAATGGGCACCTCGAAAAGTTCCAAGCAAAACAACCAAAACAACATCCTTCTCCAAAAGTAAGGGCCCAATGCTGTGAGCCATCCATCGTCGGCGAATAATAGGTGCAGCAGGCCGAGATCAAAACCTCCCAACCTGTGCACCAACCTCACCAAACATGCCGCAAGCCTCTGCCAATGGTAGGCAGCTGAAGCCACGCCAAACGTGCCTCTGGTGTGTAGAAACACGGTACCCTCTTGCTTGCCCGCAGGCAGTCTAAAACCTTGCAGGCCCCAGTCTTGCTCGTCTACTGGTAAAAGTTTATGAGCCCTGGAAATGTCGTAGAGGATCGGGCACCGCATAGCCCCTTGAGCCTCCTCGACCTCCTTCTCCACCTGCAAAAGCACACCCCCAGCGTCGTCCACCATAGGGAAGCGCATCCTATCCCTTACTTTAATCCTATGATTAATGTCGACCGAGTAGGAACCATCATGCACGATGCGTACCACGCTTGAACCAAGCTCCTTAGGCACCGCACCCAAGGCTGCCACCGCTAACCTGCCCTTGTACTTTTCCTCTGCTTCCTCTGTTCTCATAGCTATGATGGAACCCGCTTCCACCTCTTCCATCACCTGTCGCTCAATGTCCTCCGCATTTTCTTCCGCAGACCGGTAATTGCAAGCCAGAGTGTCCCTGAACTCTTCGTCTGTAAAGTCCAAATTCCACTTGACTTTTTCCTCAAAGACCGCTGGGACACGAGGCATGGTCTGATCCACGCCCAAGCGAACTCCTGAGCTAGCTGCCGCTTCCAGCCACTCGAAGTCCTCGTCCTCCACTACCTCAAGAGCCGCCGCCAATCTCCTGAAGTTCACTTCCGAGCACCTGTCTCCAGACCTTCTCCTGGGAGATTTACCCAAGAGTTCCAGCTTCCTGTCCAGAGACTCTCTGGCCTCTTGAATGACTTCCGAGAAGGGAGACTTCAGACCCTTCCCCCCTGCCAGCGACCAAAACACTTCTTTGACCGCATCGCCCTTCTTGTTGCAAATGCTAAGCACCCATTTCAGAAACTCCCCCTTGCAACAAGATGCCAACCCCAGTGCTGATTCACTGGAGAGCTGCCTCCTTTGTTTCACCGGCCACCTCCCCGGCGAACACAGTCCTCCCCCGTCGTGGATGGACCTCTCCTTCCCTTTGTACCAACACCGAATTGGCACACCGTGTCCTGCTCTGGCTGGACTCTCGACGGGAACACTTTCCGCTTCCCCCGAGCTGTCCTCCCTTGACCTTACGTCGGAAGACTTGTCAAGAGGGCTCTCTCCTAGCTTCCTCTTCTTATCCACCCCGTTTTCATCCGGATCCGTTCCAGATGACCGTTGGTTTCTTCTACCTGGTTCGAACGGAACCACTCCGCTCGATTGGCCTTTCACCTCTGGGCAACCACCCCCTCCAACGGACCCGGAGGTGGAAGGACCGCTGAACTCGGCCATAATAGCTGCAGCTATAGCCTCGTCCAGCTTGGGTGGATAGGCATCCGTACCTGTGGTCCGAAAATTGACATCATTGGACTCTTTGACCAATGATGTAGAAATATGGCAAACGCAGCTTTTGGTCAGTGGCCCAGCGTAGAAACCCTGGGAGTCAAATTCGGGCCATCTGTTTGAGCCCCAAACGAGCACGTGCTTGGAGTTACAAATGAGCCGTGTTGGTTTTCTCCAGGGTGCCCCCCAGCAGCATTGATTGATGGCCACTGTCCCCAGAGAATTTTCAACGCTGTCAACCAGATCTCTTATCTGTTGAATTTGCCATATACTGGCCGGAATAATCCTAGCCCGATCCTCCTCTCGGATCACCACCCCCAAATCTTCTGGATGCTCACCGAAAATGAAAACAACCATCCCATCAAAAGAAAAGGGGTGTTTTGACACGGCTTCCCAAACCCTAATGGAAAACCGCACCAATGCATTGCCCAGCTCGAGATCCTTTTCGAATCTCTTACTCACCCATGGGAACCCCCACAAATGATCCTTGGTCCTCAAAGTTGGAGGTCCTCGCATATTGGCGCACCTGACGCGGCTCCAGGTGCTGCATGGGGGTGTACATATAATGACATGAAACTCTCCAGCAGCGATACGTGAAACTAAAGAATCTTGCAACCCTTCCTGTGTGAGATCGAAATGATCACCTCGTTTGAGGTCCACTTCCAGTGCATCCACAGCCCAGCCCTTTTTAGCCGCCATGGATTTCAAGTATGAGACAACTGATGTCTTACGTTCTGCCCCTGCAAACAGGTACAGGACTTTCAGTGTGAAACTTCGTAGTGCTTCACCTGTCTTGGCGTTCTCGACAGAAGGCTTCTCTCCTGTCCCTGACTCTAATTGTCCTGATTCCACAGGTGACATACTTTCACCTGCAGTCTGCCTCCCTACTGTCTCCCCCGACTGTTGCTCAGCTGAGGGTGGTTCCCTCTTTGCATCTGATACATCCAGAGGGAGGGACACCTCTGGATCTCTGTACCTTCACTTGGACTCGGCTTTGGCCCCAGCTCCTGCTGTGTCCTTGCCGGGGCCCTTGCATGAATGGGCTGGGTGATTACCAAAACAAATCTGGCAACAGTGCGCCCTGCCGCAGTTGTAGCGACAACGTTGATCTTTGTTGTTCCAAGCGAAGCAGATGTCCCTTCCATCCGGCGTACGGCTGTGAAAGGATTTGCCGCCGCCTTTCTTTCCTTTTCCCTTGCCCTTCTTTCCCTTACCCTTGGATCTGTTTTCCCAAGAGTCCCTTCCTTTCTCCGGAGAGTCTCCCCTCCTCGGAGATCTTGACTTCAGCCTGTATTCCCTTACCGCTGAAGCCCCCCCCATAGAGGTGGGCGTAAGGAAATACCTTTCCTTAGTTGTGGTGTCTTTCATTCCTTCTTCCAATGCTGTGATCATGGGGGTACCTTCGTTCATCGCCTTCGTGGCAAACTTGCGAATCTGGTACTCGTAGGAAAGCACCAGCTCGAAGGAGGGCCGTGAGATCACCTCGCCCTTCTCGTCTTTTGCCGACAGGCCATGAACATGTTCCCCCAACAAATAGTCCGCCAGCTTCATAAAGATGTTGGGGTCCAGACCACGCAGCACAGCCCGGTTCGGGAACTTCAGCTGGGTCATCACATAGGTGTGCCCCACCAACTTCAAACGTTGCCTCAACTCCTCAGGCGTCTTGGGTGGTTTGGTCTCCCCGTGACCCTTTTTCACCCGCACATTGCCAGAACGGTCGATGACCGCTGCCAGCGGCTCTGCATCGGCATCGTCCTTGGACAGGAACTGCACCAAGGCCATATTCTTCCACTCGCCAGCCTCCACCTGGTCGAAGACGTGCTCCAAAGTTGCTGTGGCCGGCGCCACCTTGTCCTCCATTTTGTAATACATCTGTTCAAAGCGCACCTTCAAATCTTGCGCTTCCACTTTGTTCACAGGTGCAGGCAATGCCGCTACTGTGGCTTCCGCCTCTGCCTTGTGCCGCACCTGCATCCTGGTTGTGCATGCCTGCCAACTGTCCACCAGGCTTGCAATGGACACCACATCACGACCTCTTACCAATTGGCAGTGGTCCACCGCGAAGGCCCTCACATCGCTGGCTGCCTCTGCCAACGCTGCAAACTTGCTGATGCTGGGCACACCCAAGTTGCTCAACACTCCTTGCGTCCTTGCTGGAACCCCTTTCCGTTCCAACAACCCCTGAAAGTCAGGGTCCAACTTCGCCACGGCATCTCGAAGACCTTCTTGAGTGTCAAGATCTGGTGGAGCGTCGGCCATTGCAAGTCACCGGCCGATATACCACCTAGGCTTACAGGCTCTGGACCTTGGAATCGCTGCGGCGACCTGAGCTGACATGGTCAAACATGACGACATGTAGTGCATGTGGCAATTCACACAAACTGAAACCCTCACAGTGACAACGACATCCCTACACACCAACACTCACCAGTCAACTTCCAAGAAAAGCCAAAGAAAAGCCAAAGAAAATCCCCCAATGCAAGTCCTCCACGCTTGAGAAACGTGACGGTTTCTTCCCATGAGAAAATGCCCTCGCACCCATGAGTCTCTTCTCATTGCCTGTTGATCACCTGAAACTTTACCTCAATTCAACCGGCCCCAGCTACTGAAATCTCCTTTATCGCCTCCGTCCGCAGACTGGTTGCCCACGGCCTCTATCAATCCTCTGACTCGTCCACTGATGTGCTTGAATCAGAGGAGCTGGCACCTTCATCGGAAGCTTCGCTATCCGACTCTTCTGCAGCCATGCCTCGTGGAAAGCACACTCGGCAAGACTGGTGAAACGTATCGGATCCCGGTGGATCATTTCCCACCACCTCATACTTCTTGTAGTGAACCCCAGGAACTCGATGACACTCTCCCACGCGATGAAGCGTCTTTCGATTTCCTCGTCCCCAAATACTGAGGACGAAGACCCCTCTGGGGACAATTTCACCTGCCTCACACCGATCACCCAGTTCTTCGCCACTGGAAGGACAGTCGGGTGGCACCTCTGTGTCGTCTTGAACTGCTGTCTCCTCTTCTGTCATATGCCCGACCAAGTTCCAGTCTCGTTCAAAAGATTCCTCTTCACACGCCTGTTCTGGTTCTCCCAGTCTCAGGATTTTCCGGGGACGACCCTTCCCGAAAACTGCCAGCTTCTCCATCTGGATTTCAATGACGCCGCCTGGACAGCCAATCTGCTCCATCCTGGCTGCAATGGCACTCATGATCAGCGCCTCATCAAAGGGGTCCTGCCCCCCAATGCTCCGCCTGACGAAGTCAGCCACCTTTGCTTGCGCCCTGATTGTGTTGGCGCGCCATGTTCTTTCGTAGCCCTGGTCGATTGTTGGACCCCAGCGGCCCATCTGTTTGCGAATCTCCGCTGGTATTCCAGCTGCCTCAGACCAGGTACGCATAGTAGCCCTTTCACTGTGCTCTGACCAAACAGTCCCCACTCCGTGTTCGAAGAGAGGCACTGTGGCGCCTTCAAACCCAATCTTCATGTCCTTGAACAGCGCCTGTGAGCAGCGCGAAGCCAAAGAGTAACTTGCCATTCGTTTCAGAAACCCGCTGAGGTCTCGATTGGGAGCCGGTAGCATGAAGTCTCTGTCCATGACTCCACACTCTTGGCTCAGCTTCAACCACAGCTCGAAACCCGTGGAAATCCACGTCTCATCATGGACCCAGCATTCTTTGCTGATCCATATCCTGAGAAGACTCACTTTCTTCCCAGGCCCCGTGGTCTTTGTTCTGGTTAGCACAGCGGTGATGCCATGCGCTTGCCACTCAAGGGATTTATGATCCATCCCCTGAGTATCAGAAAACCTCATTCCACTCCATAGCTTGATCAGCCTATACCAGGCATAGCACCTGACATAGGACTCCAAACCGTAGTCCAGCACCATGCCTTCCAGGCATATCACCACCTTCAGTGGTAGGTGCCACGCCTTCTTGGCGAACCGTGGAGCTTCCTCTGACAGCTGCAAGTTGATCTCTTCTAACACATTCTTCACTGCCGGAGATCTTCCCAATTGTTCCTCCAACGGGAACTCCCCAGCATTTTCCATAAACAACAACGTCTTGAAAATAGACCCTGGGACCGTCCGTCCACAAGGCTCGTTTGCACGACTCTCTAAGTACAATGCAAACTCTTCTGGATGTTCTGGCCAGAACTTGCCGAAGGTGACGGCCATCCAGTCCCTGACTTTCTTCCAAGTCCTCACATGCTTCCGCAGTGTGGTCGACCGACGGCCCTTGCCGAATCGCCGGGTCATATCCACTCCTTCCATCACCTGACATCTAAGCATGACAGGTGCCTTGCCCTGATCCAGGAACACCTTCAATTCCCGGATCCATCGATTCCTCTCGTTCCTCTCCAGGCTGTCCCGCAACGCTTGGTTCGGTCCAGCCATCTCCAATTTCTTCTGGAGTCTCGTGGGCCATCGAACCACTTTGGCCGTCCCATGACGTGGTACGATCTGCAAGAGTCTGGCCTCCGCTCTGGAACGATGCTCGTTCAACTTGTCTTGCAACTGTTTTGCCAGGTGAGCTTGCATCAGCTCTCCTTCTGGCGCCCTGCCTTCAGCCTTCCACGCTATACGAGCTGCAGGCACCGTGAGTTCCACCAAGTCTTTTAGCAACCTGATGGCGAACCCCTTCTTAGCTGTTTCCTCAGCCTGGCCAACCACATCGTCCAGCTCGTCATCGGTCGCATCGGCCAACGTAGCCAAGTGCTGAACCGTCCAACCAAGTCCTTCCAAGACTTGGGCCAGTTCCATGGCTCCACCACCTAGCCTAGCTAACTCGGGTAGGGAATCCATACTACCCAAAGGCGAAGCCCTACGCCCCACTACCATTTTGAACCGAAGTCTGAGTACATTCGGTCATGACGATCCGAGGGACATGTCCCACTACACATATATATATATATATGGTATGTGTCAATTATATCAATCTATCATAATCTATTCTAATCTATTATCTTCTATCCTACTCTAATATACTCTATGTACCTCCCCAAGCACTGCACAATCCTGTCCATCATTCGACCGCACTCCGTCCTCCACACTTTGCAGAACTGGGCTTCCTGTGGTCAACGTCCCAGTCCTCGGCTCCATTGTTGGACCATTCATCGAGATTTTAACAGTGGAAAAAATCCAGCCGTGATTACCAGAGGGTAACCCCAGTTACAACTGGACTACCCCTACTTCGCCGATAACTGGGGTGAACTCCCCCTATGATGAGACCTCTATGATGAGACCCCTCAAACAAGCCTCCCATACTACTCCCACTCACAAGACGGGAAGCTTATGGGAACGAACATATTAAAGGATACTAGATAGCTTGCAAACAAGTGATTCTTCAGTTGGACATTTATTCCTCCAATTAGGAATGTTTATGGCTAAACAAAGGCTGAAACTTCAGCTAGTAAAACATAATCAAACTACCAAATCACGGTATCTACGCAGCTGTGAGGGGCATCAGTCATCAGTCTGTTGATCTAATGCCCTCGCAGCAAGGGGATGCTGGTCCAAAGTAGCTACAACTACATGACCTAGACTCTTAACCTATGAACAGTCAATAGCCACTTGCAAATCTGTACTTATATACATCTATGATCGATCACTATCCCATATGATGTTGAAACTAGTGTCCCCCCAAATCCACTGGTTATATAATCCTCATTCTCCCATATCAAATATATGTAAATGGCCAGGCATGGGGGGCCATAACTCTATACATACCATAACCGGAAGCCACACTGCATATATACATATACAGTCACATACATATCATATCAAGTTGGCTTTGTGATATGTACATACATTATCTATCTATCTATTCTATTCTATTCTATTATTCTATTCTATTCTAATCCATCTAATCCATCTAATCGATCTAATCCATCTAATCTATCTAATCTATCTAATCTATCTATCTATCTATCCATCCATCCATCCATCCATCCATCCATCCATCTATCTACTTATCTTATCTTATCTTATCTTATCTATCTCTCTCTCTATATATATGTATCCCCATGTTTTCTCCGTGATTTGCCATTCATTCACCATATTCCTTGTGGCCAAATGGCCCCATGGCCCTGGGCGGCCGCGCTTGTCGAAGGCCACTCCATTGGCAACGGCCAACGCATCCAAGGTGCGGCCGCCCTTCAAGAGCACCTGTGGATCTCAGGGCCCCAGGGCGCCAGGGCGGTTGAGGCTTTGCCACCCATGGGATATGGACCATATGGAGATGGATAATGATGGATATATAGATATGATATGATATGATTCTATATACAATTCTATAGATATATGATGATATATGAATATGATGATATATGGCCATGTTGGGGAGATGACATTTTATCAACATACATTCCCATGTTCCATTATGGTTGAAAGCCGCGCAGCAGATTGATGGGGCCGTCCGTACCATCCACGAGGCAGGAAGTTTTGAACGTATAGATACATATAGAATCATTTTGCGGAGATTTTATAAAACATTGCAAAACATATATAAAGCAATCCAAATCTCCTTTTTGTGGTTGAAGATATTCAACCTCCGTTTAGAAAACACAAAATCAACTCACTCACCAAATCTTCACCAGCCTTTTGCCCAGTGAAGGGGTGATAAAAACTCTGCAGCCCCAAGGCACCCCATTGGCGGCTGCCACAGAAAGTCCAGAAACATAGACCAAAGGAGTGGCCAGAATTAGCCTCGCAACATGGCGACTCTGAAACAACATGGGGTTCTTGTGGGCCCCAAAGTATATATTCAAATGACAAAGTAATGGGGATTGATCTCAATAATGGGCATTGATATTGGGGATGCTAACCAAATATGATATGGGTTGGTCCGAAAATAGGGATTACCGCTCGAAGTGGCTATCAACTTAAAGGGGAATGATGATACACGGACAAACCATTGGATTTTGGAGTAGCACTACCTGTTCCAGACCGCTCTTGGATTGGGCTAGACAAACAAAATTAACGACAACGACGACCACAACAAGAGGGCAACAAAAAGCTAACAGATCAAGAATTCGAAGTAGCAAATTCCTTCTGTAATCAACTCAAGAAACATCAATAAACATCTAGAGACCCATGGATATTCCGTGTCGTTTCTTTAGATCCTGAGCTCCTGACGCACATGGCGAGGCAGTGATGAGCCAAACCAAGGATCGATATAGTGACCTCAATTGAGGCCACATAGAACTGGATACCTGGGGGATTTTTGATGCCAGAAAATTCGAACCATATCACCCACTTACATCTTCCAACTGGGATTATATATAATTATATGTATATATATATATACACATGTATGTGTGTGTAGACAATATAGGATATTCTCATATAGCCAGACTACATAGCCATACAATATGTAACTGGGTTAAGATATGGTTATGGACACACCACATCAAGAGCCACTGAATGTGGTGACTTTTACATTGCTATCACCTCAAGTGAATCATGTTCATTGCGTGTCCATAGCACAGCGATGAACTGGTTCATCAGTTCACCGCCCATCTTTTTTGGTAACCACCCACTTGCTGTCAGCATATACAGTAATATAGAACTCACTTTGGCAAATCCACGTCAACAGCAATTTTTGTCGGCCCAATTCGAATTGTTTACATAATATATATAACTTATTATATATAACTTATTTATAGCTTATTTATAACTTATTTATAACTTATTTATAACTTATTTATAACTTATTGTATAACTTATTGTATAACATTGTGTAACCCATTTCGGTTGGTCAACGCATTTTTGCAGATACCAAACATCTCCGGCCTGGTAGTCCTAGCTCATTCTGTGACAGCCAGGACACGGTCCAATCGGAGCACGCCAAAGAAGTGGTGGTGCTGCCTAAATCAACGGTCAAAATTGGGGGAGTACCAAAGGTTCCACAAAATTGGTGAAGTTTAATCAATTGCCATTTCAGGGACCTAAATTAAAGGTACCTACCAAGGCATCCATTGCAGTAGGTGGTTTGGCGGTTTCGCCCTAGGATCTCACAGGTTGACTGAGTTGCCCGACAGCAATGAGCAGAGTGCTAAGAACTACAGCAAATGACCAACCTTGGACTTCAACTTGTCACTGGAGTAGGTTTTTTTCCTGGGATTCCAACTGAACATACTAAACCATCATAAACCATCTATTTATCTGAAACCAACATGTTTCACCATGTTTCACCATGTTTCACCATATCTTTTTTCCCCTTTTTTGGGGCTTTCCAATCCACGGGGGATCCCAAAAATTTGGTCCCGGTCACCATGGAAACTTCAACAACCCAAGGGGCGATCAGCCACCGCATCCACCAGGGTGACCAGTTTCGGCCGGGTGACCTGACCCAGCCGGTCATCCCATAGGAACGGTGTTTTTGAACGGTGGAAGAACGGTGGAACTCCAATAGGGTTGGTAAATGTCTGGTAAACATACAAAAAACTATGGAAAATCACCATGTTTAATGGGTAAATCCACTATGAATGGCCATTTTCAATAGCTATGTTAGTTTACCAGAGGGTAAATGTCTGTAAATGGCCCAATGGTTTTTTCTACATCAACTCCAATAAAACAATATAAAACATCTATGACTGACTGTTGAACAGACAGTTCATCTCCAACAGATGCATATGTTCAAGTGATGTGTAACAAATCATATCCTCCAAACCAGCACATTGTCAGCACATTTACCATTCCCTCTTGGTGACTGAACCAAATTCTTTCTGCCAATGGATTGATGAATAGGGGGGCATCTCCGAAAACCGGACACCCTGGTTTGTACTCCTAAATACAGAGGTGTCCTATAAACATGTCCCATCAATTTTGGGATTCTGGCAAATTAAAAGATATTAAAAGGAAGTGTATCACTGTATCACTGTATCACCATATATCAACTCTCGGGTGGTACTGACACACAGACTCCCAGGTGCACAAAAAAAGAACATCACTGATGACATAGATTCAATAGATACTTCATGATGCTTCTGAATCCCAAAACATTTAAATACCATCAAACACCCCAAAATTAGAGGACTCTGACTCTTATGAGAAAGCAGTGAAAACCCAAGATATTTCGGGGTCATCTCTTATGGGATTGTGTCCACCCCATCGCCTTGGCATCGGTTGTCAACTTGGCCAAACCTCACAGCTTCGTGGTATTCCACCGTAGAAATGTGCAGTCACTGGGGCCTCAATGGTTTCATTTTTTGGATGGTATATATATATATATAAACATATCCTTTTTCATGGAGGATGGAACATGATGGACACACACACACACACCAATTGGAATTCCTTGGCTGTGGGTCAAAATTAGAGACCTGAGAAAACCACAGATTTAAGTCTATTTTGAGCATTAACCATCCAATTGAGGTACCCAATTTTGAGGGGATGGACATCATGCTCCCAGGTTTGGATGGTGAAATCCACCATTTTTCTCTCGGTGAAATCCATCATTTTCCCACGAGATCCCAACGCTGAAGTGTGGACTCCTCTGCCCGTCGTTGCACCTGGCCACGGAAATTTCCCAAGATATGGCAAGAAACGGAATGACAACACTATAGGTATGTATACAATTATATATAGTATATATATATAATCATATATATATATATAATATGGATGTATGTATGTCAATGTATACACATTTGAACAGGACTCAGGATGGAAAAGCAGGCATATTACTTGTTGGATAGTACACCCATCTATTACCAGCTCGACAGGACCAGCAGGATCCACCTCGATCAGCAAAGCTCCATCAATGGTTACGGCCTTGGTCGTCCGGTTGAGCTGCGAAGAAAAAGTGGAAGCCATTGGGGATAGAAGGGGAACAACATTACCCACAAACCATTTCCAATGAGCGAACCATGAAGTATATTGAAGTATATTGTCAAAGCTGAAAAGGTTAAGAAATAGAACGATGGAAGATGATGGAAGACAGCCGCCTTCCAAAGCCAGGGCTTTTGTGGAGGTTTTTGCTTTAGATATCAATGATATCAATCATCATCCATTTGTTCATCCATTTTTTCCAAGGATTCCCTACTGACACCATATCATCCCCAGGGTGCAAGAAGCCCGGCTGAGACGCTGACACCCGAGGTGACTCTGTCGCCCGGAGACACCGCCTGCATCGATCTTTACACTACCACAGCCTCCATTTTCGGAATTGTCCCATGGTTTTCCCATGGTTTTCCCACAATTTTCCAATGGTTTTCCCGTGAACTCCTATAACTAGAGGGATTTCTGGCCCCCTGTTCACCACCCTCCCCGCCTGTGGCAGTGGTTCCCCTGTGAGGTGACTCAAACCTCGGTGCAGGATGTGAAGGTTGGTTTATAAACCCCATGAATACTATAGTTACCCTCTGGTAATTTAACATAGCTATTGAAAATGGCTATTTATAGTGGATTTTCCCATTAAACATGGTGATTTTCAATAGCTATGTTAAATTACCAGAGGGTATATCTACCATAAACCATAGAAGAATTCAGCCACTTGTTTTTGGGCAACTTAGCTTGGGGGGCCCCATCCTGTAAATGTCCCTATTTTTTTTTCACACAGCACAACTCTATTCATTATTGGAGATACTTTATTTCCAACAGATACAAGTTAGTGATGTTCAAACTCCCCAAAAGCAATACATTTACCAACCTTTGTCTAAGCCATTGGATGTTGGGGTTGCAAACAAAGCCATGTCATGCCAATCCCTGGCTGAACTCAGACAATTTCAATTTGACAAAACCAGTGACCTTTTAAAGCTTGCAATGGTTTTATCTAAGTTCATGTAATAGCCCCATTCACCAACCTTCATTTTTTTAAAAAAAACATTTTGTTGACCAGGGATTTTTCATCTAAAAAAAATGCTCCATTCATAGCTGAAATCATGTATCAACCAATCGGGCCCGGCATAGGTGGGATCATCAGTCAGCACTTGGGATGGCATGGGAAATATGTATCCTTTGCTAAATTAACATAGACCCTGAATCCATAGCCTAGTTTTAATGGAAACTCATCTTCCAACCCCTATGTGGCAGGATCTATGTTAATTTACCAGAGGGTAAGACACCAAACAATTTTAATTATTGGTATTGTCATGCAAGGTGGTGCCCCCCCAGTTATAAGTTGGTTTATACTCCCCATTGACTATAGATATAACCCCGATAAACCCTAGTTATTGGACTTATAAACCAACTTAGCTAACTATGGGGCACCACCTTGGCATGTATTGTTCCATTTTTGATTGCTCATCAACTCCTCATTTTATCCCACTTTTGGTTCTGAACTATTGATCTGTGGTCGCCACACTCCCCAATTCATTGGGGTTCACTTCTGAGCTCTGAATGAAGTAGCATGATTGACCAAGCTGAAATAAGGAAACGGGATGATTCCCCCAATCCTAACCATCACTTACAGATACCCTCTGGTGTCCTCAAACATGGCTTACTGGAAAATCCACCATTTACTTCGAATTTACTTCGAGGATAAACTCCCCGGAAAAGCTCAGGGATTTTGTTCCATCCTTCCCATATTTCCCAACCATTCTCCAATTTGAATGCCCTTTAGTTCCAGGATTTCCCAGCTACAAATTCGCCATCTTCGCCCCAGCTACCCAGCTGAGAGAGGCCATCGAGGATCCGCCCGTCCACCGGAATCACCTGACAAATTCAACGATATTAAACCTGGAAACTGGGGATGTCCTTGGAATGTCATGGGGATACATTCTACATAAAACCATCTATAGATGATGTGTATATATATATATATGATATGTATATATATATATATGCGGACACCTTTTTTTACTATACGAACTGGTATTTTAGACTACCTCCGGGGAGGTTTTCCTTGGCCCGCCTGGTCATTTAAACATACGGAAATCAATATCTATATCTATATATATATAAACATCCACTCAAATATTGTGTTTCATACTACCTCCGGGGCCTTGTGGTCTGGCCCGCCCTCCACATATTTAAATGTCGTTACCGCATGCAAACACATCGCAATCAACAATAAATTTAAGTCAAATAAAAATCTGTGCGATTATTATATAATAAGCCAATATAAGCCATATAAAGTCAATTGTATATATATATATATTATATTATATTATATTATATTATATTATATTATAATTATTATTAATCATCAATAATAATATGTATATATATATTATACCCATCTTCGAGGGGATCAACAACATTCATTTCGGCCTCCCCGGCTCGCACGAAGATGCGATCCCCTTCACGAAGTTCGAGAACCTTCACCTGCAGCGTTGATTGGTTAGTATGTTTTTTTTTGTTACAGTATATATGTTTATATATTTTTTGGTTATACGACTTGGTTTATTGGGGACCATGGGCCGAACATGGGGATCCACTATTTTTTGAACATGAACATTCTGAGTTTTACTATGTCTGTACCCTGGAAAGTTGAGAAATTACCATGTTTCGCCTGGGAAAAACGGGTGGTTTTCCAGCCAGACTTCGTCTCCCGAGGGCATATTTCTATTGAACAACTGGTGACTGGGGACTGATTCTAGGAAGGAAAGGCAGCAACTCGAATGACATTTGCGTCTTTCTTGGTTGCACTTTTCTATCCAATGACTCCTTGAATTGCAGTTACAATCCTGTTGAATTTTTCTGTCTTACGTTTGGCTTCTTACATGCAACCAGCAGGATTTTAGCCCAAAACAACAAAGTGATGGGTGGTTTTGTCAAAATGCGAGTCAACTGGAACTACCTTTCAGGGATGGAAAATGATGGAAAACAAATGAAAACAGTGTTTTAAGCCCACCAACAGGTTTAGTGGTAATTTCCCACACACACATATCCCATTATGGACTCTGTAGCCATGGACAACCATTCAGTGCCGGTAAATCTGAAAAATGTCTTGTTGAATCAGCCTGCATTGGATGTGCCGGCTGGATATTTCAAGGAGACGAACCAGGGTCTTCTTGGCTAATAGCCCCACTTGTTTCCCAAGCAGAGACGGGTCAAAGATGGGGCACCATGGATTCATCTATTTTTTGGAGCCAATCATCGTGACCCATACCCATTTGAAACCACTAAAGTCACTATTAAAGATTGGTGATATATATATATACCCAGAATTCCCTGTCTATCTTGCTTAAATCATCTTATATCCTCCATGGACCCATGGATAAGATTTGTATCAATCATATATATATATATACACATACATATTCATGTATTCAAAATCCTTTACATGTGAGTAGTTGCTATTGTTGTGGCTACCGCTTTTGGGGGGGCCCTATCGCTTTCCAGGGATTTATGGAAGTCAGCATATTCGAGATCCAACATGAAGCCAAAATCCATTCCTAAGCAGGCTCGGAAATGGATCGAGGAGTTGTTTTGTTGGTTTCAGGTGTTTCGGCAACACTTCACGTTCCTTTCATTTTGCATTCATTTCCTGTCATTTTCCTTTCATTCTCCTTTCATGTTCCTTTCATTTGTATTCATGTCCCTTAATTTTCCTTCATTTTCATTCCAATGTGCATTCATGTCCTTTCATCTTCCTTCATTTGCATGCATGTTCCTTTCATTTTGCATTCATGTCCTTTCATTTCCTTTCTAAAGTTATGGAAATGGCTCTATGGCTTGGCCAAGGGACCGAGTGCAACAAATGATTATCGCTAAGTTATCGCCAAGGTTATCGCTAAATAACCTCTCGAACATATGACATTGTTCGAAGGTAATTTGCCACAAAAACGAAGAAGGAAAAGAAAGAAAAAGAAAGAAAGAAAGCAAGCAAGCAAGCAAGCAAGAAAGAGAGAGAGAGAGAGAGAGCGAGCGAGCGAGTTCGATGCCAAATGATATGGCAACTGCAGGAAACAGGGCACCACAGTTTGAATTTCTCTCATCCGTTTTGCCCGTTCTGTGAATGTGCATTTGCTTGGTTTACGCCAAGTTTAATGGACTGTCGTGTATGGTCCCAGGTTATCGCTTTTAGGGGGGCCCTATCGTTTTACAGTGTTTCGTGCACATCTCTGACAAAAAACTCCTACAATACTAAAGTGGTCTTCAACCATTTTAAAAGTGGTTGAGGGTTGCAACTGTTCATGGTCCCATTATATAAATCCCCCCTGAATTCATGGCTACATTCAAGCCAAGTAACTAAGTATGCACATCTTCCATCGTAAAATCATGTAAAACAGTTGTTCATGCCATGAATCCATCCAAATCCCTATTTTCCAGGCTACAACATCCTGAATTTACGTCGATTTCACCATTTTCCAAGGGACAAAACATGGAAAAAAACATGAAAAAACCCTCCCGAAGTCAGGGATAGAGACCCGGTGACCCAGTTTTGCCGGTGACCACCTTCTTCCCATCCTCCGCATCGGCCAGGCTCCTTGCGGACTGAGGTAGGCGCCGGACCGTCTCAGGGCCTGGAACGGTGACATACTGGGGATTGATGGGGGATTTAAGCCATGAAATTTCCACGGATCTGTGGGGATTTATGGGATTTCAATGGATTTCACCATGAAAACTTGGGATTTCACATGATTTAACGATTTAACCATAGTGAAAACCATTAACCATGGGGATTTCGTCATGAACAACTGGGGGATATCACGGGATCAAATGATCCAAGTTTTCATGGGCCATCCATCAGCCTTTGGGTTGATTGACCACCAAAACGGGGGATTTTTGTCAATTCTGACCTTGTCAATGTCTGGCAGTGGCCCTCAGGGCTTATTGCTGAAAAGGGGCTTTATTGAAACATGGGGCCTACCAAAAGCCTATGGAAACCCTACACAAAACCTGCGCAAAACCTATGGTCCCTTCCCCTTGCTTTGTTGACGCTGTGGGCCCTTGGAAGATTGGGACATTTTCTGGGATTCCACTGGGCTTGGCTGAATCTCATGGGGCTTCCTGGAAGGCGTGAAAGGCCTACGTTTTGGCGTTCTGATGAAAACCTGCCAATAGCTTGGAGCAACCCTGTCAACGGTAATGTGAGGACACATTGGTAAGTGTTGCGATCATCTTGGCAAAATGTTGGGAATGGCTATGAAATGGCGAGAGATATTGAGACATGTTGGAAAAACATGGAAATGGGTGGAAATTGTGTGCAAAAACAAAAAAACATTGGGGTGGTGAAAAAAACACACTTCGTGATACCATCCAAAAATGAAAGGGACAACATATGGAAATATGATTCGTGGCTAGCTGACCCAATCATACATTGGACAACCCGCATCACAGGGCTTGTTATCAAGGGTATGCAGCCTCCAGCACACAGAACCTGCCATATTAAGATATCTTCAGTGGGCAAACCATCTACAAACGGATATCAATGGGACACTGTCCACTGCCGCTTAGAGTACCAAAGGGTAAGCCGGCCTATTGGCTCAATTCTATCCTTAGAACATCAGAAAAGCTGCTAGCAAAGTTGAAGCCAACATCTGTCTATCTATTTGTCTATTTATATCTAATTATGTATAAATCTACTTATATCAATTTATCTATTTATCTGCCTGTCTGTCTATCTATCTATCTTTCTATCTATCTTTCTGTCTATCTGTCTTTCTGTGGATCTATCCATCCCTCCCTCCCTCCCTCCATCCATCCATCCATCTCTCTCTCTCTCTATCTCTTTATCTAGCTCTCTATCTATATCTCTATCTATGTGTATCTAAGATCTGTATCCATATCTATCTATATATATATATCTATACATGACATGACATGCCATGGCATATGTACATGTACACGTAGGTATGTGTCAAAACCCTGGAACCCTACGGCCAAAATAGCGCTTGTTTTTTGTGCCCGCTGGGGCTCCAACATAAGCTGCCCAAGGCATCCAACGAAGCTCGTGCTTTCATGGAGAGTTTTTCCTGCACCGAAATGCGGGTTGATCATTGGATTGGTTGGATTGGTTAAAGGGACAGTTTTGTGTTTGAACCCCCTTCATTGCCACGGTTTCCGGTGGATCTTCGCATAAATCCAGTGAGGATGTTGGACTTTGATCCTGTCGCGCCGGCGGCGCCGGTTTTCCAGCTCAAACCGTTGCTGTGAGATGCGCCATTTCTTGCAGCATCTCAGCATCTACAAAGATCTATGAGATTGAAAGCTAAATCTGCCCAACGATATACCCTGTGACCCTCATTTTCCAAGGTGCCACGAGCGATCTGAGGCTGCTGAATTGCTGTAAAACCATTGCTGGCTATGGGTCGAGTTACTGGGCCAATCAACCTAGTCAGTTACATCCATTCTAGGGGAGTCATCGAAGATTTTTGACCCATACCCAGATATCCTTCAATGTTCAAACGACAAGAACTCCTCCAGCTTTGGCGGTGTTCGCCTCTGGAGAAAGCCCTAAGCCAACTTCAGCTGCCATTGTGGACAGTTTTGAGATCCTTGGTGCATTTTGGTCATAAGTTTTTCCGGGTGAATACCTGAAGTGTTCTGAAATGACCAGGCCATGCAATTGAAAGAGCTGTTTGTCGTACGAGTCCACCCAAAAGGTGAGCAATCTGACTTTTGCGTGCGTTCTACTCAAACAGCTCATTTTGATTCAATTTGATGCTTCGCGGGGTCCCCCATTGAAGAGACAGAAGCACGTATATGTATTTTATTTTTATTTTTATATACTCCGAGTCGCATTATCTGCCAAGTTATGCCAAGTTTCCGCTCACTCACGGATGCCATTTCTTGCCTGCAACAAAGCCGATGCAACTCATGGATCTAGAAACGGCAGGGCTTTCAACGGCCAGCTGGGCAGGTCAATGACCAAATCATCATTAACCCTCATCAAACAACAACGTTTCAGGGCTTGAATGATAGATACGCTGCAACAATGGTACTGTAGTTCTCTGAATATTCTCCTAGTGGATCCACCGACCCAGACGGCCCGCCTGGAAACAGGATGGGCCTATGCACCGTTGGAAAGTCTGGAGACAACGCTTGATATGTTGCTTGCGACTTACTTGCGACAAGCTACAAAGGGATATTATATATATATATATCTATATGTATATAATATCTCTCTATAAATATCTATATATATATGAGCGTATACTTTTACGTGTATGTGAATACATGTGTACAATACATATAATTGTACGTATATATAATAATAATAAATAATAAGTAATAATAATAATAAATAATACATATATATATATATATCATATATACATGTGCACATGCACCAACATGATCCTATGTGTTTTGCACCAATATACTTAGGGTCTGAATATACAAAGGTATCTGTATAATTACACTCTATTGAGTCCAGGGTCCATTGTCGGTGCGTGTATAGTTTCTTCTGTATAGTGTTGTCTTGCATTCTACTGCGCGCTCAGTATTTAGATAGACATACATAGCAAAACATTGCAAAAGACATCACATTCCGAAACCATGATATGTCAACTCAAATCAAAGGCTTTCGACATGAGTGAACTGAGAAAAACACCTGAACCAATGTCCGTCATTTCCCAGTAATTGGATGGTTAGACTCTTTACCTTTCTGCCCATGAGCCTCACCTTAAAATAGCTGTTACTTGACAGCTGATGGAAATGGAAAAACATCCTGGCATACTAAGGTCTTGCTGATTTCAGCACAATCCATGGAACCTGGGGTAATAAAAATGAGCCACACACTTGGTTAGGTGAACAACCTTCAAGTATATTCAAGTATCCCATTTTTTGATCTTATCCATATTATATCTGATCTGATGGGCCTAGTTGGCATACCTCCTCTCTCTTTCTACCGACCAGTGCGCAAAAAAAACATCCATGCAACATTCCTGTGGTATTCCTGCACACACACACACACACACGTGATATCGATGTCTTTTTGGGAACAAAGAGGCCGAGTTTGGCATACCATTTACCATGAAACCCACCATAATTATCCATAATTTACCTCTTGATATGGGGGTAGCCTCTGGTAATTGAATACTTCTCCGGGGAAAATTGCTCATTGATCCTAAGAATGTAGACGATTTAGCTATTCATTTTCCATATCAAACTGAGTTTTTTTGAAAACAGGGTACCTAAAAAATCCAAGAGTGGATCATCATGTTCCCCACTTACTGAGTTACTGTAGATGCCCCAAAATGGGGGGTATATCCAGGTCCCATTTTCAGACACACCCAAGTGGTTTCCAAGGAGCCGTGTCGTGGGAGAGGTGCAGGAGTTGCCTCAAACATGGAGAAGTTGGGCCCCAAAAAAAGGGTAATACCATGGAACATACAAAAAAGATAGGGATGGGACAATCCACCATTGAACCTCATGGATTTCCATAGCTATCGGAGTTTACGGGAGCAGGATACCCTCATTTTTAAATCCCGAAGAATCTTGGAACATGTTTTGCGAGAGCTTTGCACGTAGGTGAATTCTATTGGGTGCAGTTCAAAAAATGCCACCTTCCAGAAAATATCGAGCAAAGATGGACTACACACAAAACATACACGCAAAATCATCATTTATCTTGTTGTACCAATGCCAATAAAACCTCCTTGTGCGAAGGATCTTTGATAATTTCGGGAAGCGTCGGGCATATCAACACTACCCAAAGCCTTGAAATCAGGTTTGTTGCAACGAAAAAGATGCTGATGAACACCGCAAGAAAACACAGCCATGCAGAAACCAAACTCCAAATTCTGCATAGTCAATGGCAATCAGATATTATGCGAGTTGATATCCAAAAAAATCAAGCCTCATACGGTCATAGTTTGCTCATTGATGTCCTCATTGCTGTTGCTCAACATCCCATGTCCCACTTTGGGTTGCTAACCCTGGCGATCAGTCCTCTAAGTGGTCACCATAAAATGTTTTCACCCAACTAAGACTAAACTCTTCCCAAACAATCCTTGATCAACTATATGAAGTTTCCATGCCTGGCAAATGTTATATACTATAACAAAATACTACGTAAAAATGGTTATTCTTCTCGTATCATATTTGATTATAGTTATTTTTTGGGCACTAACAATTAATTGGAGAGCTGAGCCATTTTTCAGGCACACCCATATCCATTCTTCAATGGTGACATCTATATTTCTGATGGTTAAATTATGTCAAACATCCATATCTCATAATTTCTCATATTATAATTTGATGATTATAAGACTGATTAAATCATATAAATCAAACATGGATGATCATTAGGTCCCTATCTCATATTTTTCGGTTTCCTAAAATGGGGGTACCCCTAAATCAATCTAAATCATCAATTTTATTTTTGGATGGTCCATTATAAATCACCCAGCTATTGGGGTATCCCCATGGCTATGGACACCTCCCTTCAAATCTCAGATAGCTATATCAGGCTATATCCCATTAAAATCCATTAAGAATCATGAAAAATCACCCATTTATGGAACTTATAAATCACCCATTTATAAATTTTATGGTTTTTTAGTGCCATAGTTTAGCACTTTACTTATGGACACCACCATATTTTTCAGTCCCTATCTTTGGTGACCTCCCAGCACCGAACGTCCGGCCTGTTGAGCGCATCCATGGCCTCATGCACCGCCACCAGGTCGCTGTTCAAGAGCGGTTCACCCAGACCTTGAAAGCGCCCAACCGTTGCCATCGATTGGTGGAGATTTATTGTGGTTTCTGGTGATTTCTGGTGATTTATGACGATTTCTGGTGATTTATGATGATTCATGGTGATTTCTGGTGAATTCTGGTGATTTCTGGTGGTTTATGCTGATTTCTGGTGGTTTACGATGATTTCTGGTGATTTCTGGTGATTTATGCTGATTTCTGGTGATTTCTGGTGATTTATGCTGATTTCTGGTGATTTATGATGATTCAAGGTGATTCCTGGTGATTCATGCTAATTTATTTTGATTTATGGGATTTATGGTGATTTATGGTATATATATATATATATTTAAAATGACTTATGCCAATTTATGGTGATTCATGGTGATTCATGGTGATTTCTGATTGATCACTTATGATCGGGTGTTGAAAATACCAATTATCAAACATCTTAAATCCAAAAACCATATACTTAAGATGGATTCATATACATTTGTTGGGTCAAGTGGGGTGACCATACCTAATTTAGGGGTTCTAGCGACCTGTTTCAAATTGGATGAACATGGGACTTATAGTTGGCTTTAGTACGCTTTACTGCTTTAATACATGGCTGGTTGGCGGTTTGAAACCATCACAAATGGCTGTTTCATTTCTGGTTGAAGCAGATTGGGCAGTGGTTTTGCTGGGGGTAGCACGTGAATACGTAATAATGATGCACATCTTTATCACATCTTTAAAACACACACACACATACACAATATATATATATTTATATTTATATTTATTATATTATATATTATATATTATATATTATATATTATAAACTATATATTATATATTAAAAATTATATATTTCATATGACATATTATTATATATTATATATTATATATTATAAATTATATATTTCATATGGCATATTATTATATATATAATATGCTAATAGCCTGCATATACTACCGTAGAGCATCTACCTCAGTACAGACATATGTAACTATGTACTTCTACAAAAACGACTTCTTTGACCCATGTCTGTAAGACTCACAGATTCTCGGTGGTTTGGTGATTCCCATCCAGTTTGTCCGACGGTTGAGGCGAATTACACCAACATCAACAAAATCCACTTGTTTACAATAAATTCATAGAATTTCATAGATGTCCCTGCTAAACTAGATCTATTTTTGAGGGAATTTTTATTCCATTTTCAGACACACCCATAACATGATATGTAAATCTGTTCAATTATGCAGGTTCCCCTGCAGATTCTCCATGAACTTTGCGAAGTGATTTGCTGGGTCTCGCTGTCTCACCACGATGTTGATTACTAGTTGAACCTGATCGAACACATATTGGATGGATAAAAACAAAGAAAATACCCGGTTTTTCTAACATCAACATGGGTGTCTTCCAAGCTCGTGAACACGCCAACAACGTGTCAAAATGACGACCTGTGATTCTCTTTTTAGAATCGCAGCGATTCTCAACACCCGCCTCCATAGCAGTTGTACAACAGAGTTGGAGTTGGTTTCCCAGATTCCTGGTGGGACAAGGGCCAAGGTAAACCATGTAAAACAATGCTATAAACATAGGTTAACCATCATAAACACCTAAAGCCCTGGTTGCGATGATCTTCTCACCGATCATGGTGGAGCCACCCATCCCAGAAACTGAGCTGGGCATTCAGTGCTGCTGTTGCGGAATTTCTCCCTAAAAGAGAGGAAGGGATGCTCGGCACAAAGAAACCTACGCCGGCGTATACCGGCGTATAGGACAATCTGTGCCAGGCAAAGAACATGTATACATGTATGTATGTATGTATGTCTGTACGATTCTGTAAGTATGTACGTTTGTATGTACGTAAGTAAGTTTGTATTCATGTACGTATGTATATATATATATATTTATTGTGTATGTATGTATGCGTGCATGTATGTATGTATGGATGGATGGATGGATGGATGTATGCATGTATGCATGTATGCATGTATGCATGTATGCATACATGCATGCATGCATGTATGCATGTATGTATGTATGTATGTATGTATGCATGCATGCATGCATGCATGTATGCATGTATGCATGTATGCATGTATGCATGTATGCATGTATGCATGTATGCATGTATGCATGTATGCATGTATGCATGTATGCATGTATGCATGTATGCATGCATGGATGCATGCATGCATGCATGCATGCATGCATGTAGGCAGGGAGGTAGGTAGGTAGGTAGGTAGGTAGGTAGGTAGGTAGGTAGGTAGGTAGGTATATATATATATATATGCATGGATGTATGTAGGTATACAATGTGTAAACTATTGGTATACATATACTATATATTATTATGTGATACAGAACTGAGGTCTTTTGATGCATGGGGTTCTTGCCACATCTTGCCACCATGAAACATTCCTGATGAACACGAGCATTCTCATTATTTTTACCCCTGGCCTTGCCTTGGCATGGATTTTGTTCTGGATCTGCAGGTACTTCTCGCGCGTCAGAATCTTAAACAATCCTTTGACCTCGGGTCCAAGGAGTCAATGGGGCATGTTGGGTCCTCGGCCGAGGGTCATCAAACCCGGCAATGGAAAAATCCCTCCTTTATAGATGATTTTCCCATTAAAACACCATCCAATCATAGTTTTTCGTTCATGGCCACGTTTGATAGGCTTACCGGGTAAACCAAGGTAAACCATCGTATTTTGGGAGGCATATCCCCATTGGCCCATGGATCCACCTGAGTCCCGCTGAGTCTGGCTGAGTCTGGAGACATTGCGACGCTTCTGAAAGGCATGGCTTTGGTTTCGGTTGGCCTGACAGTCACATCCAGTGGCTCCGTCCAAACATAGGAGAAAAAAGATCTCGGCAAGACACACCAAACAGTGTTGCAAGGAACATGAAGAAAAGATACCAGGTCAGATTCTACAAGCTCCCTTTGTGAAGATCTCTGTGGAAGATCGTGTGCAAGATCTCCTTGACAGGTTCTCTGTAGAAGCTGCTGTGCAAGATCCCTGTGAAAGGCCATCTCTACAAACTGTCTAAAGAGATTCTCCGCAGAAGATCTTTGTAAGAGATCTCAAAGTAAGATCTCTGTTCAAGCTAAGTGCCGAAAGGGTTGCGCGAGGGATCTCAAAATTCCGCGCCACAACGAGAGCGATCCGACACCCACAAAGCGACGAGAGGGTTGCGCGAGAGGTCTCCAGGCAACCGTTTCGTGCGGGACTTTTGTCAAAAATCACAAATGCCGCACACGTATCAGACCACCTCGAATCAACACCGGGCCTTAACTTCTACCGTAAGAACCCCAAGTGTGGCCACAGTTTGGGGAAAAAAAGAAAAACGTAATCATAGCGATGGTTAATCCATGGATTTCTCCATAGATTGAAGTATCCCCCATTTTTGGACGAATCCATGGGGTTCCATCAAGTGGGCAATAATCAGAGGTGAATGAAATTATATTCTATATATTGCTTGGCTGTCTAGAAAGAATCCCCGCACAGATTCGCTCCGGAACTGCAGCAAAATTGACCTTATATAAAGCACTTCAACAAACGATTCTGCTCCTGAAAGTTCAGCCATGTTCAGCATTTGGGTATGGATCAATACCTATTAATACCATTTTTAGTGGGTTATTCACATCCATTTTAACCCAGCTATTTTGATGTGAACAGAAGGGGTTTTCCATGGGTTTTGACCCACTGCCATTTCAACTTGATGATTTTTGATGGACATCTGGACTGGAGCTCTGAGGATCTGTCAGCCTTTGGTGGCTTCTTAAAGCCTCAGATTCGGCACTTAAAAGGCGTGCCACCAAGTGGTGATCCAGAGAACTGGTAACCAATGGTAACCAGGTATCAAAATGGACGAAGCTGTATATACACATATATATATATATGTATATATATATATGTATATATATATATATAGTAAGGATCCAGCAGATAGAATATTAAAAAAGATATGGTCAAGAGATAGAATACGGATTTCGCTTTGCAGGTGGGAATCAAGAGATAGAATACGGAATGTATAAATTTAAGAAAATCATCAAAATTATGAACATATCCTATGCAAATACATTGTTTTTTATATGATAAAACTCGAGAAAACTCTTCAAACTTAATATATATATATATATATAGAGAAAACTAAGCAAACATATCATTATATCATATGTATAAACATTTTTTTGAAAGAAAATTAAAGAAACTCTTCAAACTTGAAATATACATATATAAAAATAATATTCTAAGAAACTAATCAAAAATATCAATATATTATACGTAGATATATCGTTTTTAGTAGAAAAACCCAATGAATTTAGTCAATTTTTGAAATATATATATATACATATATATGTATATATAATATGTTATATATATATATGGAATTAATATAAAGTTAAGAAACTATTCAAATTGAGTTGAGCATCACATGAAACACAACAACGAGACTCCAATCAGTGATGGTAGCCAGCAGAGCTGGCACACCATCAAACACACTCATACTGTAACATAAGATTAGTTTGTGTGGGAGATGATCCACTGGAATATTCTATCTGTTGATTTTGGACCCTTTTTTAATTGCCTTTTGATACCCTCCAGGGAGGCACAACAATGTTTCGAATACTCTTTCAGATCTGCCATTGCTAGTAGCTGGAACACGTTGGAAGTTGAACCCTGATCGCTAACCTGAAATATTGTTTTGTAATGCCTATGAGGCAACCAAAACATGTTGGTGCATGTGTTATTCATGTTTCGATATAAACATAAAATACGACCAGAAATCATTAATACAATTGTCTTTAATCATACAGTGAATACACTTGCTGTCATGGGTTCATGGGACAGTTGATGTACGGTCATTCTTGCTGTTTGATCCAAAAATTAATTGAATATGACTTGCATATTAGACACTGGAAATGCTTACCAGCAATGCTGGCATACAAACAAATGTTCAAACCTGCATGCCAACAATGCTGGCATACAGTGAATATAATGTGAGAATAATATGTAATGTCGATTTTGTACATATTCACATGTTCGTGGTTTCTAATTGTACAGTTTTTGTTTGCATCTATCTCATCAAAACATATATATATAGGCAAACCAAACAGATAGAATATTCCAGTATCGTCACATAAAGGAAACATGATCATGTCAGAAGCATGCATGTGTGAATATTTGTTAAACAAAAAGATAAAAGATATATCTTTAGTTGTGTTCTGCATCAATTCTCTATATAGAATATGGTTTGCAATTGTCTTTAATCATACAGTGAATACACTTGCTGTCATGGGTTCATGGGACAGTTGATGTACGGTCATTCTTGCTGTTTGATCCAAAAATTAATTAAATTTTACTTGCATATTATACACTGGAAATGCTTACCAGCAATGCTGGCATACAAACAAATGTTCAAACCTGCATGCCAGCAATGCTGGCATACAGTGAATATAATGTGAGAATAATATGTAATGTCGATTTTGTACATATTCACATGTTCGTGGTTTCTAATTGTACAGTTTTTGTTTGCATCTATCTCATCAAAACATATATATATAGGCAAACCAAACAGATAGAATATTCCAGTATCGTCATATAAAGGAAACATGATCATGTCAGAAGCATGCATGTGTGAATATTTGTTAAACAAAAAGATAAAAGATATATCTTTAGTTGTGTTCTGCATCAATTCTCTATATAGAATATGGTTTGCAATTGTCTTTAATCATACAGTGAATACACTTGCTGTCATGGGTTCATGGGACAGTTGATGTACGGTCATTCTTGCTGTTTGATCCAAAAATTAATTAAATTTTACTTGCATATTATACACTGGAAATGCTTACCAGCAATGCTGGCATACAAACAAATGTTCAAACCTGCATGCCAGCAATGCTGGCATACAGTGAATATAATGTGAGAATAATATGTAATGTCGATTTTGTACATATTCACATGTTCGTGGTTTCTAATTGTACAGTTTTTGTTTGCATCTATCTCATCAAAACATATATATATATAGGCAAACCAAACAGATAGAATATTCCAGTATCGTCATATAAAGGAAACATGATCATGTCAGAAGCATGCATGTGTGAATATTTGTTAAACAAAAAGATAAAAGATATATCTTTAATTGTGTTCTGCATCAATTCTCTATATAGAATATGGTTTACAATTGTCTTTAATCATACAGTGAATACACTTGCTGTCATGGGTTCATGGGACAGTTGATGTACGGTCATTCTTGCTGTTTGATCCAAAAATTAATTAAATATTACTTGCATATTATACACTGGAAATGCTTACCAGCAATGCTTGCATACAAACAAATGTTCAAACCTGCATACATGTGTGAATATTTGTTAAACAAAAAGATAACAAAAGATATATCTTTAGTTGTGTTCTGCATCAATTCTCACCAAATCGTATATATATATATATATGCAAATCAAACAGATAGAATATTTTTTATATCTAAATTATATCTATTATAGAAAAATAAAAAAAATAAAAATAATTAAAATATTTTTTTAAAGTTTTTTAAGACAAAAATGTTACAAAACCCTATATATATACACGGATCTAGTCCGTACCTGCCGGTATTCTATCTGTTGAAATTCCTGCCTGCAAACCTGCTTATGTAGTATTTTTTTTTTTGGGGTGAATTATGGTTTATATTCTATCTGCTGGATCCTTACTATATATTATTATACAATATATACAATATCTACACCATCCGGTGTCCTCAAGCATGGCTTGCTGGAAAAGACCTGATTTATGGATGATTTTCCCATTCAAAATTCAAAAAACTTTTGTAGGAAATTCCCCATTGCCATCTTTGTTTGGATGTGATGAAAAACTCCTCAGTGGTTTTACCATCCCAGCTCGCTATGTTATCATCAATACCAAGTCCAGTTGGAACAAACATATTTGATACCGACCAGCAACGATTTGTTACATACCTGCTAATAACCTGAAAACAACATTTCTACAACTAAAGACCCATTCTTGGCCTTAAATTCAGATTTTCTGAAACTAAACAATCACATGGCGTTGCACCCCAATGCTCTACAGGTATAGCACCCTCCCAATAGCATTACCCCCTGATCAAACATGGCTTGCTGGAACATCCTTCACTTACTTCGATGTTCCCAGCTATGGAACCTGAGGCTAGACCTCCAAGTAAACCCCTTATATCCACATTCATATCCCATTAGATCACACTTTTTTATGGTGATATCCCATGTTTATTACGGGAAAGGGAGTATAAACCTGTTTATTGCGGCTGCAGAAACTAGTCCGTCCCAGTGGCCGACCGTTTCGATGCCATAGCGATGCATCAGCCAGAACCAGCGCTTGCTACGAAAGACCCGACCTCGAGCGAAAGGGGCTGCCTGGTCCAACGGTGAGCATAACTAATTTACCATGGATTTTAGATTTTATATCGATGATGTTAGAATGGCAAATACATTTGAAATCATTTGAATGGATATAATTTGGATGTTGTTATGATATGTTATGATATCCATCCTTCATTACGATTGCATTTCATTGGATGGTGAGAAGCAAAGCAGCAAGGCAGGTTGCGAAGGGTGCAATGTTGCTATTCCATGTGTAATCTTTGTGTAATGTTCCTTAATGGGACATGTAATAACTGGATCACCCAAGTAAGACTTAAAGATTAATAAATTGATCAGTAACGTAGTTACAGTTACATAACCTTGTAACGGGATGTAACTGCGTTATACCATGTTATACCCCTTGGCATTTCAAAAATAACGATGCTGTCATTCACTGCGCATTTCAGGGATCGAAAAGTATGATCCTTCCGAGGTGAGTGGGTTCCCCCGTCACCGCCTAAGCCATGTGCTTTGTCTACCCTTCGGTAATCAAACGTAACTATGGACAATTTCCATCAATTTCCTACTTTCAGATGATTTTCCCCTTTAAATCCCCATTGATGGGGGATTTCAAAGCTAGCCATGTTTGAGCCAGCGGGTGGGAAAGCGTCTAAGCGTTTTGCTGCTTTTTTCCGGTGATGTTGAGGTTGTGTATTTTTTTGGGGGGGCGGTGTAATAACATTCTGTCAACTTAGTTTCCTTCAAACCCTCTTGATGCTACTCTCGTAACTTTTTCTTAGCAGCTTCTGCAACATCTTGATGCTACGCTCTCAACCTATCATGCAAGTTTCTACAGGCTCTTGATGGTAGGCTCTTAACTTTCTCTTAGCATATTCTACAACATCTTGATTCAATCTTGATGCTACACTCTTAGCTTTCTCTGAGCATTTTCTACAACATCTTGATGTGGCGCTCTTAACTTCAAAAGCGACTCTAATCCGAAATGAATGCGACAAATCCGAAGTTGGCAGCGGAGATGGGAAAATACAGGTAAAAGCCTGTGCAATTTGACTCCTGCCACGCTTGAACGGATCACCCGCTCTTGATGCTACATCTTTCATCATCTTTCCAGATGTCACAAAAACTCCAAGAAAAAAACCGTCCCGAAAATCGCCACGGCGCCACAGTTTTACAACACACCACCTCAAAAGTGAACAACTTGTTCGAAGGGGAAAGATGTACTTTCACCTGCGAAGCGCAGTAGAAACCACAGAACGTGGGGGCAGAAGTAAGCTGAAAAAAAAGCACACGACCATGCTAAATACCATGCATCTGCGTCAATCCGAAAATCACCCTGAGAAATCGCTTTCGGGTTTTCCACATGTTTTCCACATGTTTTCCGGATGAAAAAAACCAAAGGGTCAACCACCATCTGACCATAAACAGGCCATCACCAGCCAAGGGTCTCCAGATCTTGTCGCTGCCATCGATGACGAAACCGAACCGCCAGCCCTGGGAGTTGGTGGATGGGATGGGCAATATATGGCATGTGTCAAGACAAATGTGTACAGATATGTAAATAATATATATATATATACTTACATGTGTAAATATAGATAATTGTATAACATACATGTACATATAAATATATATATATATATGCATACATACATACATATATATGTATATATATATATTTGTATTTGTATACTGTATATACTGTACACATATATAAAAAGTTGTACATGTATAAATATTTATGCATATATATATATGTTTGTGTATATACACACATATGGATGTATTTACTTACCTGCATATGTAAATAAACATACATAGTTAGATCTATTTAAATGTATCTACATGAAACCTATGTTGTTGTATAGTGTATATATATATATATGTTTAAAACATTATATGCATATTTACATACAAGTATATGCTAACGGGTGCCAAACCGTACGTGTAGTTACACACATTTTCAACATGGGGTGGGGTGGGGTGGGGTGGGGATGTTAACGTTCGTTAGCAGTTGAAGACGCCACGCATGCTACGCTGAGCATGTGGTGAGGTGGAGATGTGTACGTTCGGTTGAAGTTGAACACGCCACTGCTGCTACGCTGATCATGGGGTGGGGATGGGGTGGGGTGGGGTGGGGATGTTAACGTTCGTTAGCATTTGAACACGCCACGCATGCTACGCTGAGCATGTGGTGGGGTGGAGATGTGAACGTTCGGTTGAAGTTGAACACGCCACTGCTGCTACGCTGATCATGGGGTGGGGTGGGGTGGGGTGGGGATGTCAACGTATATCGTGTGTTCTCGTTACCTGTTTTGAGGAGTGCATCATAATAATTTATAATGGTTGTCATACTTCTGTTGATAGTGTCTTTCACCACGGTAACGATAAAGTTCATCCCAATGGTGATAAAAATCACCCTCTAATTTCATATGTTGGTCATTATTGGATATGCTTGGTATGATAGCGATCTTTCATATCGTGAGGATAATAACTCATCAAATCACTAGTCAGTGAAGTCTACATGCACAATGATCAATGAAAGTGGCAAGGCAAAAAAGGTCCGAAATTTGTGCTGTAAGGGTTGCAAAATCCAAGAAAAATGACCTTTTTTGGGAACATTTTTTTCCTGATCAGAAGGCCACGAAACACTGAAAAGGTTGTCATTTTTTTCAGCATGTTGATGCGCCTACACGCGCGATTCCGCACCCGGCGGGAAGTATATTATGATGGTATGCGTTCGGCTGGATATCTATCTATCTATCTATCTCTCTCTCTCTATATATATATATTATAGCTTACCCCAACCAATAACGAACATACAACTCTTTATTTGGAAGAGTCCATTGACAGTGGATGTGTTCAGTGGATAAGCGTATGAGCGAAAGCTCATAGTTTGGAAGAGTGCTTTGAACGAGTGAAATTGAGAAGCGTAGCCCCAGCACCAGGAGCCAATGTTGAAGAAAGGTGATGACATAGCTTGAAGTTTGCCGTTCTGGCATGTACTGCATTTGTATGCAACCCCGTGCTTGTACTTATTCCCAGTGAGGGTCTCTAGATTTTAACAAAGGTGCAACTCCTTCCTCCTTCCTTCCTTCCTTCCTTTCTTCCTTCCTTTCTTCCTTCCTTCCCTGTCCCGCTTTCCATGGTCTTGGACGTCACAGTCAAGGCCATCAAACTTTCACTGAGGTATTTTGAAACTGGCAGTTTGGAAAATATTGGAACAGCCCCCCATGAAGCAACTGATCCAAGCATTTACAATGAAGATGTTCAATTGCCAGAGCATTTTCTTCATGGGGCTAGAAAAGGTGATGTTCGCATGATTTACAAATCAAGCATGCAGTTCATAATTGGGTATCGGTCAAAGTAGGGCAAGGCGACCTACCTTTTTTCTGCTACAGCTACTGGTCCGGAAAGTTGGCCGATTGACTTTGTAAACGCGGTGTTCAAATCAGAACTTTTTCGACCAAAGCTCCACCTTCACCGTGATGATACTCTAAGGTTTACATATCTTGCACATTTACCTATCAATATGGATTTCTAGAACATCCCACAATCCACATATAAACCTCAAACATCCTATGAAAAATTCTCAGTTTTCTTCCCTTCTGAAAAAAACAAGTCCCGTCGTCAACCCAGTCCCCAGTCACTTTCGCCTCTCGGAGAACCATGGGCAAGATCCATGTACGCCAGGCTGGGATGATGATACCTATGGCTTAGCCAACCACACGACTGGGCTGTTGGCTGTTGAGGAAAATGATGGAACATATCTGTGGTAAGAAACCGTTGGGATGGTGAAAAGAGTTGGCATGATGAACAACTATGATGATATAGTTCGTAGATGGTTTGGCGAAGTTAGTTGAACATTTTGTTTGATACATGCTAAATGTGCTAACTCCATGTAAATCCATCCAACCCCCCAAGAAACAAAAACACTGCATCAAGGACTGTGTATGGCTATACTCCATCCAGAACTGTCATTGGGAGTTGCTAGCACCAAAACTTAGGTTTTCAAGAGAACTACTGAGATCCGCGTAATGTACACATGCAGCAGGCAATGGGGTTGAGAGATCACATCAAATGCATGAAATACTGTGACTGGCAGCTGGGAGCTTCAACTACAGGCCAAAAGCTGAGTATGATTAGGAAACAGCGGATCGACCAACTCCACAACTTCGTCCCAACTTACACCAACTTTGGTATGGGCCAACATTGAAGTCCTCATACCATCATTATTCATCATTGATACTGTTCAGCATCAACCTTTCAAAAAAGTATGGTGCCAGTGACTCAATCCACTTCTATCGTTGTGAAGCTCGTTATGGCTCGCTGTAACGGCTGCAACGGCAAGGATCAAATGCAAATGGCCGCCAAGAGCAGCTTGGACATCAATGGCGGCACATGGTTCACCTCCTCTTGGTTGAATGCAATGACCTCAAAGGCTTCGGTGTCCATTTACGAATACCAACTGGTTGGTGGTTGACCTACCCCTCTGAAAAATATGAAAGTCAGTTGCGATGATGAAATTCCCAATATATGGAAAAATAAAATTCATGTTCCAAACCACCAATCAGCCAAATACTTATCATCAATCATTGTCATATCATGATAACCATTACACATCTATAATATTCTATAATCGAATAATACTCCAAAACATGGGTGTGTCTGAAAATAGTGTACCCCTAAACCCAATGGTTTTGCTGATCATTATCCCTATTATTTATGGCTATTTCATTGGGAATATTAACCCAACATTTTCAGACAAACCCACATGATAATCAAATAACAACATCATTTGGATCATGATCATCCAATCACAATCAATCCAAATCGCCTCGATGGCGCGATCGAAGCACTGCTCCTTGGTGGGCAAAAAGAGCAGGGACCCATGGACACTATGGATTGGAAAACTCCAAATAGACCTTGTTAACTAGGGTTTCTAGTAGATGTACCTACCTATCTATCTATCTATCTACCTAACTATAACTATAACTATAGCTATAACTACTATAACTATAACATACTATAACCATATATACACAATGTGTGTGTAAACCAAGAACAAAAAATCACTGGGAAGCGCCACATCTTGGATTTGCTCCGCAACTCCCAGATTTTCCCAGTCGAATCAACCTGCGGAAGTCATGCCGAGCAGTCATCGAAAGTGAATGGAGATCATTATCCCAAAATTTGTGTGAACAGATAATAGTAGGGATACCATAGTAGGGATAATAATAGTATTTTGGGATCTCCATTATTGACAATTCATAGTTCAAACATAGTTCAAAGATGTGAAAAAACAAACCAGCAAGCAGTACAATACCTTGCTAGTAGGACTTATCCACATTTAATAGGACTTATTCACATTTAAGTTAACTAGTTATGACGTACAGCCCAGGAATCTTAACTGGAAAAAAACATACAACGCATGCTGAGCTGCACCCTGTGGTAAACATGACCATGGCTGCTGGAGAGTTTGAAAGCTCTGACTTGGGGTCCAACAAAACACGAAAGCAACATCATCTTGACAAAACAGTTCAAAATACCCTGCACATGTCGTATGCACAGACTTGGATGAAAAACATGTCAAATACAATTATCGTTAAGGACATATACCAAATATATCCAAATATTATCATTCACTTATACAATATGTCTACAGTACAAAAATAATACAACTCAATACATATCAGAAGCCAGCAACACCACCGCAGCGTTGTTTGACATCAAGTTGCCCAAGCGAAGCCGACCAAAATGGAAAAGCCTCCAATGACCTGATCTTTCAATGGGTCAACGGTTTGCTGGGAAAAGCACATCTGAAATATGGGATTTCCCATGGATTTTTCCATTTGATGAAACCAGAAGGTTTTTCTAAGTCCAGTCGAATTGTCCAACCTACCTTAGCCTAATCCTATCTAAATACCTTTCTATCGATGGGCACATGTTGGGCCAAATCATGATCCGATCAGCACCACCCAACTGCCAGAGTTGCGCAGCCGCCCTGGCTGCAGCCATGACTGAGACGAATTACGACTGAGAACAACCAGCCGACCATGGACATCCCCAAGATCGGACAACCAACCCCCAAAACTCATCAAATAGTCTTCGTTGTAGGATGTTCATCTACGATCATCTACCCAATTTTAGTCGCTTTGAGGGTTTTACCTATACTCAAAGGTCATCATCTGCTGGTTTCAGCCCCCTTTGGAAAATATGAAAGTCAACTGGATCATCATTCCAGGTACGAGGAAAATGAACTTGAAGTTTGAAACCACCAGCCAGTTCCAGAACTGGTGGAAGCAAAATTGACAGGAACTCCCAATATTTCGCTCGTGGGGATCATCGTCTATGGTGCGGTCATGGCTGGGCCATCTCCCAGATATTTGAGACGTTTCGAAACATGTCGACTGCTAGAATTCCCCAAATGTTCACATTTTTTTCGGGAGTTTCCTAAGTCATAGTAAAATTTTTACCCCAGTTTATGACTGGAAGTTTCCTTTTTGGACATTTTTCTACCCCAGTCATCCAGTCATGTCGTCATCCAGTCGTCAGTGACGCCTGGATGATGGCGTGGTCTGTCTCGTCTCCAGTGGCTTCCAGATCGGCCAATTTGTCCAAGACCTGGGGACCCCGATCGGTCTTGGGCCCCCGTTGGGGCGCCCGGTGTTTTTAAGGATGTTCCCTTTGTAAAGCTACTTAAATAGCTATTGAAAATGGCCATTGATAGTGGATTTTCCCATGAAAAATAAGGTGGATCTGAAACCATAGTTTTTTGTATGTTTACCAGAGGGTACTGTACCCGGTAAACCAACGTATCCCCCATTGATGATTTACCACGTATAGGCGGTAAACATCACATGATTTTTCTCGGTTTCAACCATCCTTTTGGTGGTGCAGGATTTCGCAACCATCCACTCTAGGGCTAGTGTTTTTGGATGTAGTTGGGAGTAAACTGCAACGCACTAGAAAGAACTGGGAGATACTGGAAGATATTGGATATGATTACCATAACCATTTTTGACTACAAGCATTTACCGTTTACCAATCAATCTGGCCCGGCAATAGAAAATTCGGAAATCCATGATTTCTAGTCTTGTAGTATTTCTAGATACGTTTCCTATTGAACACGTGGGGGGTCTGCAGCTCTAGTGAACCATTAGCGATCCAGCTATCCAAGAGAGTCCTGCTGTGAGATCATCCTAGGTCCGGCTGATGGTTGTGGAGTGGTTTTGTTTCATTAAAACCTGAACAAACCTGAGTCATTGAGAAGATTGATGACATCCGCATACATCCGCATTATCAGACTTCGGATGTAACATGTCTGAAAAAAACACAATAAACAACATGTGTTGGTCCCACTAGAAATTGACGACAACTGCTGGGACAGAGTTGTAACCCAAGCCCAGGCGCCCAAATCGCGAAAAAGGCCAGTAGGGAAACAGCTGTCGCCAATTCCAGTTGCAGCAACATCTTTTCCTGCGAGTCAACTCTGAAAGAGCAGCTACCCTTGAGTTTTTTTCTTCAAGGAATTCACCAGGTGACGCTGGTAACACCAGATACACCCATTGGATCCCATCGGTCCTCCGGAGCATTTCGGAAGACATGCGTTGCCAAATTCCATTTGCAAGCGAAATAAAGGCCTTTGCACGAAACACACCGGACGTTGTTTTTTTTTCGGGGCTTCCGTTTGCAGCCGAGAAACTCCAAGCGAAGGCTTGGTTACAAGCAGCCCTTGGCTGACGCCATCATCAATGGCTGAAAATGGGCTTTCACAGGTCTGGAACAAATGTGAACAAGTACTGCATATTTTGGTACTGTCCAAGTTGACAAAGCGTATAAGTATCAAAGGTCTCAACAACCACTTTAGCTCAAGTTTGAAACATGCCAAATCTGGACATTTGACATTATAGGAACAAGATGGGAACAAGTATTGGTTCGATTGTAAGTTGGGTATGGTGTTCCCAGCTCCTGGGACTGGCTTTGGATGAATGGATGCTTAAAACTAAAGGTGACCAAAACATCCTTTCCTTCCTGGGTCTTAAGTTTGGACCTATAGGCCCTGGGACTTCTCTGACGAGAAACATTGACACTTGAACAACGCGAGGTTCCTCTTGCTCACCATTCTCTATTTCCAGGTGTCTACCTGGCCATGGCGCTCTGAAACTCAAAGGACCCCTGGTTGGTTCCCAGCTCTACCCCGCTAAAGATCGCTAAAGGTTTAACTTCTAGCGGTTATGTATCAATTCCAATTATAACCCAAAAAAGTTAAAACCTAAGGCAATGGCTGGAAACCACCATGTATTCTTCCCAAAACCCCACAACGTCAACATTCATTTCATTTCACCCTGGGAGCCTCTGCTTGGTGGATCCCGCCTGCATAAATGTCTAGAGCAAAAGTGCCAGCACAGAAGATGGCTCCAGCCTAGGTGTTCACATTCCACTACCAGCTGGTATTGAAACACGTCTCCTGCGCTATGCTGAAGTGACTTTCACTACCTGCCCGAAATTCAACGTGTAGAAACACCTTTGTGCTAAGTCTTCAGAAAGCGCAACAGACATTCATGATCACCAGGAATGAACTTCTTTCAGTGGCAATCGTTCTACATCTGGAAAACAAAAACATTCATACCCTCTGGTAAATTAACATAGACCCTGAAAATCACCAATTTTTAATGGAAACTAGTCTTCCAACCCCTATCTGCCAGGGTCTATGTTAATTTACTGGAGGGTATATTCCAGTAATAATGATATATCCACAACGTTTCACACATACACACTGTTCCAGCTCTGAAACATCACAGACTCTAGAACTCCATGGTTATGCTACATATGGATATATCCATATCATTTTCATAGGGAAAAACAATGTTCCATGTTGTTGAACAACCATATAATATAAATATAGTATACTTTAAAACAATATGATATGATACTGTATGATATGATATGATATAATACAAAAATAATATGATATAACATAACATCATATCATATCTCATCATAATTTAATTCAATTATTCTAATCGAACAGGGAACATGATGCTCCTATATGCTCCTGATCAAAAACATGAGAATCCCTGGGTTTTCCGATCTCACCAAGCTTCGGCAAACAGCGCTGCGACGTCCTCCATGCTGCGAGTGGTTTCTAGTTCCCAGGGATCGAGTCCTCAGCTGATGCATAGACACATACCGTAACATATAGTATGTGTTACATATATCATACATATATACTGCATATCATCAACTCGCACACACACACATATAAATAAATAAACACACATATACATATACATATACATATACATATACATATACATATACATATACATATACATATACACATACATATACATGTACATATACACATACACATACACATACATATACACATACATATACACATACATATACATGTACATATACACATACATATTCATATACATATTAATACTCATATACATATACACACACATATACATGTATACAGATCTGAATACATATGTACATTTCATACATATTGATATGTGTAAATATGTGTCTACATGTACGTGCATGGATGTACGTATGCCCTGGCTATGACTCCGAGCAGCCTTCAACGTCTGGCAAGGTGCCAGCAATCCAGAATCGAATGGCTTGGACCTGCAGCAAACCAAACATACCAGATTGAGGATGCTTAAGGTAGTAACGAACATGTCTTATCATGTCCTATTCTTCTTGATTCCTACATATACATATATAATTACATAATTATATGTATATACATGTATATATATATATATATGTATTTATGTATATACAATGCTGATACGGTAACAGAGTTTCATACAATGTAAGAGAATGCTATATAATGTTCTGAAACTGCAATACTTTTCCAGCTGCGTGACGCGGCGAACCTGCCACCTGGGGACCTCTCTGGTGAGTGGATGAAACCAATCCGCTCCAACACCCAACTTCGCTACTTGGGCTTTGACCCGTATCTAAAATAATACATGAACATAATATATATATACATACATACAATCATACATATAATTGTGTATATATATCATTATATATCTAATTATATACGCAATACGTCACTGAAATAATATGTATGTAATTACTGTCACAGTGCATTTCGCTTCCATGTGCAGTCAGCCAAAAACAACGTATTGATTAATGTTGGTAAAACAATAATGAACCATCCATATCGTCATGGGTTATATGGGTTATATATATATATACTTGTTTATGCCACCCATTTATGGTGATTTAGGGAATGGTTTATGACATTGTTTTAACCACATGTGTATCTACAAACATCTCCATGCATCCCCCCAGCTGTTCGCCCCCTTCGCCCAGTGGCGCTTAAGAAGGAGACGGTCAACGCCAGGACATTGTCTTCGGGCTCTTCGGCCTCTTCGAGCCACATGACGAAACACCTGGCGAGCGAGCTCGAGGGAGCTACGTGGGAAAAACGAGTCGCAAAGTAGCTGGAACAGATGGGGATTCAATATGATTTACCCTCTGGTAATTTAACATAGCTATTGAAAATGACCATTTATAGTGGATTTTCCCATTGAAAATGGTGCTTTTCCATAGTTATGTTAAATTACCAGAGGGTAATGAGCTGCAATGGGATCTATATAATTAATGGATTTAATGGTAAGTCATGGGATCTAAGGGGATTTGATGGGATTTCTGGTGGTTCTTTCATGGGATTTTCATGGGATTTTTGATGAGATATGATGGAATATAACAACCCACCAACCAGATGCCGAAACCTGGGGGACTTGGGCAAGAGAACATGGGATTTAAGGAAAGGGGGTCCAACAAAATATGGAGATTTAAATCACAATAATTTCATATAATTTCCATTTAAGCAACACAACTGGGTTTACAAAAAACATGGTCAGCCGAAGGTGGAGGTCGGCTGATTATGGAGTGGTATGGTGAATGGCTTGACTGCAAGGCGATGGCTCAAAATCAAAGGTACCCGATGGTCGCAATAGGCAGAGGATTTGCCATTGGCAACCCCAAAATCCACTGGCTCATCATCAACTTCCCCATTCAAATTGTGGGAATACGGTATAGCTCACTTTCAGCACTTCATATCCCCAATACATACCCAATTACTGTTGCTTAAATCTCCATACATGGTTGGTTAACAAATAAATTTCAGGTCCACAGCCATATATAATATCGAGTTGGTTATATATCCCATTATATCCGATCCTATATTCCAGACCCCCCCCCAAAAAAATCAAAATTCCATTTATTCCAGACTCCTAGTAACTAACTTGTTGTTTTATAGATATATTACAGACCGATTCTGCTGGTTAAAACACCATTTTTCTTCGGTTTTTCATCCCCACTTCGGATTCAAATCTTCAGTTCCAGCAGCATAGGGGTCACATATCACCACCGTAGGGCCATAGGCCATAGGGCTAACAAAAATCTGATGGTTACATGTTATGCCTATCTAAGGTCACCCCTTTTTTCTTCATCATGGCTGCTTTCTTCTCCCAAGTGGCTCGTTGTAGACTTCCTCCATGCGATCGTCATAGACGCTGGCAGCCGCTTTCCAGGACTCTGCCACTTTTCCTTGTAGAAGCGACGAACATTGACCAGGGAGAAGAACCAAAAAAAAAGGAAGGATGTGAGGAACTAAGAAAAATGGGGATTTAACTATTTAACCAACACAAGGAAAATTCACCAACAAACACGGAAATGTATGCAACACACACATATTTGCAGTATATCAGTATATCTGTTATACTAGTATATACATATATATATATTATATTATATATATATTATTATTATATATATATTATATTATATATATATATTTCGTAGCAAGCATGAACACTTGAACAAAAACATGGGGGCTGCAGGGAAATTATGTATGACACATGGAGCTAAGGAAAAGAGATACCGCAGACTTAAACCCCAGAAAAGAATCAAGAGGGCCATAGTTGAAGTTGGAAGTCCTTCTACCGTGCGTCTCAAATCTTGACAGAAAGCCTGGAAACCGTGCAATTCAGCCTCTGACAATCATGATGAGCCATGATAGTGCTATGATGCAGAAATATCTTCCGTTAAAAGGATTAATCTCTCCAAACCTCAGAAAGTTATGTACAGTATATACCGAAACCCATCTAAATTAAAACGATTGATCTGATATCTGGGTAACGATTGTAGTAACTGAAAATACAGAACATTGATGGAGCCGAAACCCTGACCTGTCTCCCTGTCTCCATGCCCATCTCAGATTTTGTTCAACAAGCATCTTCTTTGACCATCGAAATACCTGAGTTTGCAGGCCGCAAAAACTGCCCATGATACCAGCTCCATTCCTAAAACAACCATGCCACCAAAAACTGGTTGGTGGTTGACCTACCCCTCTGAAAAATATGAGTTCGTCAGTTGGGAGTATTATTCCCAATATATGGAAAGTCATAAAATTCATGTTCCAAACCAGCAAACAGAAAAACATTACCCTCTGGTAATTTAACATAGCTATTGAAAATGGCCCATTTATAGATGGTTTACCTATTAAAAATGGTGATTTTCTATAGCCATGTTAGTTTACCACAGTGTAGACACAAATTCAAATGATGAACCAGCCAAGGCGGTTCATGTCAAAATGCACCAGACCCAGACAGCCGCTCCCTATAGATGACTTGTGCCCCGAAAACAGGATGCCAGGTTCCTGCTCTTTAAAACATCAAAACACCACACTTGCTGCCGCCCATAAAATGGTGAGAATTGAGAATCATCTGCCGCGATAACATGGGAGAACTACATAGTGCTCTAGGCTATCACCATCCCTCTCCAACTTGCAGACTAAGTTGCCACTGGATGAGCAGCATCGTCAGAGCAGCCAGAATCTAAGGTGAAGGGACACTCGTTCTCACGACATGTGAGCAATTTGATGGACATGTTGGGCTGAAACATGTCATGGAGCCACCTATTTTCTAGTTCTACCAAGATTGCCAACAGGCTCAACAGTTCTTTTTGCAGCGCTGTCTCAAAAAAAGTGTTCACGTTCATCCTAAACGTATCGAGAAGGTCAGATTCGTTCCACAATGTCTAAAGTCTAAACTCAGACGACCTAAAAAAACTAGTCGTTGGAAGGATGTTGTACATATATATATATACATTTATATATACTGTTGTACTTATTTCTGATACATTATGCAGCTTTCTCCATCCACAGGGCTAGACATGAATCCATTCAGAAAACGTTCATCAGTCGGTGTAACCCTCAACACCTCAGTGCAAAGAGTTTGTTCCCACCCTAGGTATCCGGTGAAGAGTCATACAGCAGGACCAGCAAGGGGTGTATTATCTACTCTAGTGGTCATACTACTTTATTTTGCCATGCAACGGTCACCCTTCATTGACAGATTCGATATATGAGTTTGTCTGAAAATACTCATTTTCTTTTTGGTTGCTCATAATTTTCGCCATTCAAATTGCCACATATATATTATATATATTATATAGATTATATAGGATATCACCTATTTTTGGAGATAGGTGCATTGGGGTACGTAAACTCCGGGCACCCCAGAACCATCCCACCAAAAATAACCAGTTCTGTCTATCAACCATTAAAACCTATAATTTCCGTCCAATTTTTGGTTGAGAAGAAACCTCCATCTGTTCACTTTTTTACAAAGGGGCACCGAAAAAGGCTACCAGCATCAAAAACCAAGAAACCACAACAACAGTGGCTGATTGCCAATCCCTTCTCCATGGCTCGGATTGTTGGAGAGTTCCAAACCTGAGGGACTGGCTGATCCCCAGTCGGAACCAGGGATTTGGGGTATCCAAAAAAAGGACACATCCATATCATTGAAAAGAGAAAATGATGTAATTATGATGGATTCACCAATGGATTTAAGGAGGTAGCCTATCTTTGGACCAAACCCGGCAACCAGCAGGAAGAGCTTTTTGGACGGAGAATTGTTTTACTGGATTGCAGGTTGAACTAATGGTTTCCAGAAAAATTAACCATCATTTATGGTGACAGTGACATCATTCGAGGTCTCTCCAACAAGACCCGGAACATGTGGTGCTCTCAAAGAAAGTTTTTTTTTTTTTACCTGGGAAATCACCATTTTTCACAGGAACGTAGCCTTTGAAGTCGGGGATAATCGCCCGTCCTGTTGTGGCCGTTGTGGTAGAAGCTGTCCGGGACATCAAGGCAGCCGTCCCAGAATTTGGTCCAAGCGTCGCATTGATCGCAGCAAAGCCAGCGATGTGCGACAGAAGAACTTTCCAACATGTCATCTGTGACTGAAGGTCCTGGAGTTGCCAAGTGCAACGGGGCCGCAGAACACTTGCTGTTGGGAAAGATACAAGAAATCACCCCAAATATATAGGTGCGGGCTAGAATTATTGACCCCGACATGGATGGGTAAACACAAAAAGAAGGACCAATCTTCTCCAATTTTGTGGGCCAGAAAAACATGTTCAACCAAATACACACACACATACTATATATATATTATCTGTATGCATATACCGTCTAATACTTATATATACATATAGAAAAACAACACCAAATCACCAATTTCACCAGTATATCACATTATCTAGTGATACTTTTTTCTAAGTACTTCATATTGCTTATACCATTATAGGATATATATACCCAATCACCAGTATATAACCAGTACTTATATATGGGTTTGTCTGAAAATAGGGTAGAGTTTCCCAATGAAATAGCCATTTTTCATAGGGATAATGATCAGCAAAACCATTGGGTACAATGGGGTACACTATTTTCAGACACAGCCATATATAAGATTTATCACGCTTTTAGTAGGATTTTACATTTCAAACTTGTTGAAGGGCCTAGTGTAAGATAAGATATCACAAGTACTTATACCAGTACTTATATATAACCAAATCACACTATCGGTCACTAGCTCTGCGGGCTCCTCGATGTGATCCAAGGGATGGAGGTCAGAGAAAGTGATCTGAGCTTTCACGGTTTCATGGAGAATTCCCCAATTTCGCTGGTTCATACAGGATGGGCCACCTTCAAGATAGCGTTCAGTTGCCTAAAAAAAGTGGCTGAATTCTATGGTTTATGGTAGATATAACATGATATAACTATAGTTACTGGGGTATAAACAACTTATGACTGGGGGGCACCATCCTGTAATGAATGGAACATCTGAATAAATTCATTGGACACCCTGAAAGTCATTCTATGTGCTTAAGATAGTCATCTGATGATCATGTCATCTCCAAGAAAAGATTATGACAGCAAAGAAATCATCATGAATTTAGATTAGAGATCTGCTTTTCTATCGTTTTTGAGGATGACTATGGATGACCATAATCATATCTGTAACATATGACATATCGATCACTAATATGCGACATGATCAATGTATAAATATATATATATATATATATACGTATATAATCGTGCACATACACACACACACACATATATATATGTATATATATGTACACGGATCGTATTTACGTTAATCCAGGTTTGGGTACGGTATGATATATACATATATATATATATACATATTTTTGGTTCAGCGTTCCAACCCCCCTCCCCCCCCCGCCATGGTCATGGGTCAGCCATAGTACTGTCCCCCTCCCCCCCTGTGGTGTGGTGGGGGTGTGGT